AGAGCAAATTTTGCATCTCATTTGGAAAGGTCCCAGAGTCTGGAGGAAGAATGGAGAGGCACACAATCCTAGATGCTTGAAGTCCAGTGTGAAGTTTCCACAGTCTGTGTTGGTTTGGGGAGCCATGTCATCTGCTGGTGTTGGTCCACTGTGCTTTATTAAGTCCAGAGTCAGCGCAGCCGTCTACAGGACATTTTAGAGCACTTTATGCTTCCTTCAGCAGATGAGCTTTATGGAGATGCTGACTTCATTTTCCAGCAGGACTTGGCACCTGCCCATACTGCCAAAAGTACCAAAACCTGGTTCAATGACCATGGGATTACTGTGCTTGATTGGCCAGCAAACTCGCCCGACCTGAACCCATTGACAAGAGAAAGATGAAAGACATGAGACCAAACAATGCAGAAGAGCTGAAGGCTGCCATTGAAACATCCTGGTCTTCCATAACACCTCAGCAGTGCCGCAGGCACTTCATAAGCTGTACGCAATAATCATCAATTATATCAAATAAAGGCTTGAAATCTCACTTTGCATCAAACTGATCCTAAGCCTAAATTATTTGAGAATATTTATTGTTTTGCACATAGCACAGATATTAAGTAAATACCACATGGGATTGAACCTATGACCTTTGTTGCAATATGATGTGCCTGATCAGGAGACTTAAGACTGCAGAGACCTTTTAATCACCCAAAATGTCTACATGAGAAAAGGCACTTGAGAAGCTAATCTGTACTGTCGGATATACTAGACCCAAATCCCAAGAAAGGAAGAGATTTTCAAGATTTTTATTATCAGTGAGAAATGAAGAGCAAGACAAAAAATCTAATCAGTCAAACTTCAAAGTTTGTTTTTAAACAAAAGAATTTGGACATGCCAAAACACATGGATGTACTCATGCATCAATGCAACTCAGATAAATATATATATATAGACACCTGTTTATTACTTGTAAGGGTCTCCATTGGCAAGACATCACATTAAGCTTTACGACTAGAAGCCTAATCTTAGCTTTTCTGTGAACCCAATTAACCTTCTCCTCAGCCACTATGTGAACTGTAAAACAGGATAAGATGCTGTGCGGCAAGTAGACAAAGCGTGTTACGTCACATTGCATTAGTGTAGGTGCACCCAAACATTCATATAGTTAACACATTTTCTTACTCAACAGACAAACAAAGTTCTCATTTATACCTTTAAAGCCTGTTTTCAATTGGAAAATGATTTGCAATGATTGTTGTTAGCTTATAACATGCATTACAAGTCCCCACCCCCATTTATACCCATCCACAGTAACTAATGTCATGATGAACCCTTAGATAATATAAAGGTTGTCTGACCTCAGAAAGCTGCAGTGCAATATTTTGTTCCTTCAGCAGTGTTGGGGTCTTGCCTAATGTAGTCTCTAATGTTTTCAATAATAATTCTCTTCACCACAATTGGGGTAAATTCTAGAGTGTTTAAACCTTTTGTTTTGTTAAATTTTAAATGGCAATCAGAACAATGTCATTTGAACTAGGGTGGTACCAAGTAACCACACAGAGCTGCCTGAATATCCAGTTGGTCCTCCTCCAAAATAACTAGGCTGAAGCTTGTTGGGATGAGTGTGCAATTGTGCCTGCTATAGAAAACAGTGAGGGCATTTAGGTGTCAGGATGCTGACATCTGATCAATATCAGCTCCTTGTGCTTAAAGAGCTGAACACAGAAGAATGAGAGAGCAAAGTACAGTCTGGAGTGGTGGTAATATTTATGGTCTTGGTAATGTCATTGTGATTTACAAACTGGTTTGACTTTATCTCTCAGATGGATGGCAAAACAAATATTCTGTTTACACACTCCCTCCATTCACTTTTATTCTTCATCACTTAAACAGTATCATAGCAGCATATATATTTGTTTAACATAGTGTAATTATCAGTGTTGGGAGTAACACGTTACAAAACGCAATTATAGTAATATATGGCTTTTTGCTGTAAAGTAGTAATACAATGCATTACTAAAATAAAATTGGTAATTTTATACCGCTTACAATCTCAGTGATGACAACGCATTTTAACCCAAACTTAAGTGGTGTTTTGTTTTTTGTTTTTTTAATAATTCACCACCACAGAGAAAAATTAGGCACCAGAAAAACAAATCCATGAGTAAACAAGCAACATTATTTCCTGTTGCGGGAATCCGATTGTAAGCAGGATGCAAACTACGGGGGGAGCTCGGCTCCTCTTAACAAGAGGGTAGCTCCCCTGATGGAACATGCCTAAATCGACATCTATAGGCTAAGTGTTTATGCTTTAATGAATTACTTTCCTGATCACAGAGACCGCTAACCGAGTGTCGGGAGATTCGAATGATCAATGACATTATGCTGCTGTACCTTGTGCATAAATGCGCACACTGTCTTTCTTAACATCCTATTTCACCCCCCTCCTCCCCCGCTGTTAATCAGAAGGTTAATTTTTTTGACAAAGACCCACCCGACCCACATCACTTGAACCCGCCTATGCAACACATCTTACAGAATAATGCGCCCACGTCACAGTTTTCGTGGGTGAGTGAAGAGGAGGTGAGAGCCCAAACGCAAGACACTGGAGCAGAGATTCAGTTCAGGGTTTTAATACCAACAAAAAGCAGGATCTCAGGCCTACATGCAGTAGAGGCGTCCAAAATCCAACAGACTTAACAGCTGAGGAACAGGCAGAACACTCCAAACACAAGACACGACTGAGTGTGAACACTACAATGACCAGACGCAGACTAAAGAGAAACACCAAACATATATACACCAGGGACTAAGGAGCAGGGCGGGAGCAACACAGGTGACAGGGATCAGGGCTAACAAGGCAGGCAGAGAGACAGCAGGGAAAACAGAGAGACACTTACAGATGCAAAACACAAGACCATACATTAACTGGAACTCAAAAGTATTTAGTGGACAAGCAAGTAGAGGAATTACTGGGGAACAGACACAAGATCACAAACAGATCACAAATAAACTACCACCAACAAGGAACACAGACAGAACTCAGAGCAGACATGGGTAAAACAACACCCTACACAAAAGTACACAGACCAGGAGTAACACTAAGACAACACCAAAACCCAGAGAAACCAAAATCAAAACACAGAGTGCAACTAGACATGGCTGACAGGCAGAATGTGACAGCCCATTAAATAGCAGTGAAAGAAACTCAAAAGTAATGCAAAAATAGTGTAAAGCATTACAATTCAGAGACAGTAATATTGTAATATAACCAATAACTCTCAAATAACAGTAACCGGTAATCTATAATGTATTACATTTTGGAAGTAACCTGCCCAGCACTGGTAATTATGGTCCTAAAATGGTAATGACACAATTATCATAATTTGTCTGTGCATCTTTGTGAGAGTCAGATGAATTATTTCACTGGGTGTGTTGGGTGCTAAGTAGGCGGAAGTACTCGCCTATAAAAGAGAGGTTCAGGCAGGGATCAAGTTGTTGAGAGAAATCAAATACACTCATTACACCACAGGCTATACAAGTACTTCCATCTACGAAACTGCTTTGCACACAGTCACATCACATTAAGTTATTCTATACAATGTTAAATCAAGATAACCTGAAATATTAAAGCCATCAATCAATACTTTAAGAATAACATATCAAATCGCTCACTGTTTAGCTGTTTGGCTCATTTCATAACTTTCATAGCCTAGTTTTCCGCCACAGCAGGCAACTGTTTTCAGTGAAAAACCTGTAATACCCCACTATACACAACTTGCTCAGCACCGAACAGTAAACACAGTTAGCTACTAGCTGGTGAACATTCTGGAGCATTTATCTGCTAAAGAGACAGATATTTCCCTCAGGAGTACATAAACCAAGTAATTCATTTTTTTCTTTAAATTTGCAAGGGAAATCGTTTCCTCAATTTCACAGCTAAAGAGCTCTTTAAAATGTTCATTTTAATATTAAACCTGTGCCTTGGTTTCTCTGCTTTCATGACTTGCTAGTTTTTATTCCCAAATAAAGAGTGAAGTTACAGACACAGAATCGTGAGAATGTATTATAAACAAGTGGTGATAAAAACAACCCAAATCTAATTTAATTTCAAAATTGATTGAACGGAATCCAGAAAGAATACTTTATTGTCACAGTTCAAGACCAATTCAACATTGTAGTAAAATTACATACATTCTAAATTGTAACAACCATATTTAAAAACTGCTATACAGTGACAAAACACCAACTGAAATGTATTAAACTGTAACCTTCATAACATTAATAAACTGTAACAGCTCTTTTAAAGACATCACATAATATGTTTTTTAATGAATAAGCATTATATTAATTATCTGTTTCTGTAAGTAATTTTTCTTGATGAGGTAGTAAAGTATGGGTTACAACACATTTTAACATCTGACCAGTGGCTTAAGAGCAGCCTCATGACACATTAAAGCTGGGGTAGGAAATGTTGGAAACGTGCATCCGTTTATTGAGCATAAATCATTTTATTTTTATAAGAAAGTTACTTGGCTGTTGTCCAAAGAAAGATGAGTGGTATGTTGAAATGGGTAGTGCAAAGATTTGTTGCATGCAGAAAGTGCTTTGCACACCAAAGATATGTTTTTCTAAATTGACTAAATGTTTCATGTTCAAAATCTCTCTTTCACAAATTAAAGGAGTGTGTAATTAATGTCTTTGAAAGCTCTTCATGAGGAATGATGATTCTTCCGAAGTGTATCATGCTGCTCTTTGCTTGTTCAGACTACAAATGTTTTAACCAAGAAATTAGGTTTTATTTTGTTGACTGTAACTGTAAGGATACACAGCAGTTTAACTTTGTTATAAATTCAATAAAACATTTTTATTTAATGTATACAAGGGCAGAGTTATTTTAACTTAAAGTACTAAAGATGATATGAGTTTTAGATTTTATATTTAACAGAATCTCATTCACTGTGAATTATTATATTTATATATATTATATTTAATTATTATACATAATATATTTATGTTTTTAATTCCGTCAGAGCCACGCTGGAAGCTTAAATTCATAGCTGGTTGACCCTAGGCAACATACAAGTGGTATGTATACCCATTAAAGGCAAACAACAACCAGTTATATTTGTTTTAAAGAAGTTTTACTGTTTAGATTTTGTTTTATCCAATCAACAAACATGCATGTTTTTGGACTGTGGGAGGAAACTGGAGCAGAACGACATCTCATTGACTCAGTGGTTAACACTATCACCTCACAGTAATGTTTTCTATCAACAAAAATAATGTAAAAGCAATTAAAGAACATAATGTTCTGTCCACTTTTGTGCTAACATTGTTTTAGTGACAAAATAAGCTAACTTTTTATGCACTTTCCTTCTTTTACTGTCTTTTTTTCAATGCTCACCAAATACTGTTTACCTATTTAAGGTTAGCCTCAGCATCTGTGCATTACTTGGATGTCCCCTGTTGGTTGGTCTTGTAAGACGGGAGGAAGGGCACGTACTGGAAACATCTAAACCGCTTCAAAACACTGTTGCAGAAAGGGATATCATAGCATGACTGGTCACACATGTTTTTGCCGTCCCCTCGCACCTTGTCTTGCCAGCTCTTGATGCCTCGCTCTTGGTCAGTGCCTGGACAAGAAAAGACTTAGGTTAGCTGATTATGATGTTATGTCTTGTTTGATAATAAGTCTTTGATAATTGAAAAAATAAGTATTTTGTCATACCTGGAATGGTGTTGTCCAGGATAAACCCAAAGAATCCTCCGATGAACATGTGTGTGGTGAAAAGCACTACAATCACTTGGTCTAGCTCTTTTATCCCTTTAAACAGAGAAGAACATATTTCATCATCCTACCAGTACGGGAAGACACCCCACAAATGCAGCCCCTTGAATTTTTTAATTTCATTTTCACTTCATATCGGCCACTTACTCTAGAAAATCTTTAGATTTCACTGTGATCTCATAGCTTTCATTGGAGCTTCAATTCTGTAAGCATCACAAACTAAATTCTACCCCCTGTATTGGGGTGGAAATCTCAGAGATCGATGTCCATGACTGGATACCACTAGGGTTATGTCGTTGGTAACTTGGGCAAATTGTCATTAATGACAATTTAACCGCTGGCAACTAAAGTGAGTACATCCCTAAGTAAAAATGTCCAAATTGGGCCCAAAGTGTCAATATTTTGTATGGCCACCATTATTTTCCAGCACTGCCCACAACCCCCTTGGGCATGGAGTTCACCAGAGGTTCACAGGTTGCCACTGGAGTTCTATTCCATGACGACATCACGGAGCTGGTGGATTTTAGAGACCTTGCGCTCCTACACTTTCTGTTTGAGGATGCCCCACAGATATTTAACAGGGTTTAGGTCTGGAGACATGCTTGGCCAGTCCATCACCTTTACCCTCAGCTAATTTAGACAGTGGTAGTCTTGGAGGAGTGTTTGTGGTCATTATCATGTTGGAATACTTCTCCGCGGTCCAGTCTCTGAAGGGAGGGGATCATGTTCTGCTACAGTATGTCACAATACATGTTGGCATTCATGGTTCCCTCAATGAACTGTAGCTCCCCAGGGCCAGCAGCACTCATGCAGCCCCACCCCTTCAACCTCTGCAGCAATGCTGGCAGCACTCATACGTCTATTTCCCAAAGACAACCTCTGGATATGACACTGAGCAACGTGCACTCAACTTCTTTGGTTGACTATGGCGAGGCCTGTTCTGAGTGGAACCTGTCCAGTTGAACTGCTGTATGGTCTTGGCCACCGTGCTGCAGCAAGTTTCTTGGCAATTCTTATACCCTAGGCCATCTTTATATAGAGCAACAATTCTTTTTTCAGATCCTCAGAGAGTTCTTTGCCATGAGGTGCCGTGTTGATCTACCAGTGATCAGTATGAGGGAGTGTGAGAGCAATAAAAACAAATTTAACACATCTGCTCCCCATTCACACAGAGTCACAAGAAAATGGCTAATTGGGCCCAATTTGGACATTTTCACTTAGGGTTGTACTTACTTTTGTTGCCAGCGGTTCAGACATTAACGGCTGTGTGATGTGTTATTTTGAGGGGACAGCAAATTTATCTGTTAAAGAAGTTGTAAGCTCACTAATTCACATTGTATCAAAGTGTAATTTCTTGAGTGCTGTCACATGAAAAGATATAATCAAATATTTACAAAAATGTGAGGGTGTACTAACTTTTGTGAGATCCTGTAAAAGCTGCAACATCCTCTTTGTCACTTCATCTGCCTTTGTTTAGCTTAATTAAGTATTACAACAATTTTTAGCTCCCGTTTAGGCCACATGGCAGGCCTGGCAGAGTTAAGGAATTGGGATATTGGAGAACATGAATCCAGCAGGACTTCAGTCTTAGTGGCTGAGGGGCAGCCTTTCTAATCACTTTACAGAAGAGTTCTGTAAAGTCTGCAGGTCTACAATCATCCAGATATTTGGACTTACAAAGGTTGCTTGGTGGCTGAGGGGCAGCCTTTGTAATCACTAGACCACTGTGGCACTTTCCTGAGTCAGAGTTGGCCTTTCATGTGACATGTGTAACCATCAGCACATGGGTGAAAACAGGGCGCCATTGAATATGTGGATGCCTGCATGCCTTGCTTTCATAATGCCCCTCAGGCAATAAACTGCCTAATGAATGTGTATCGAATTGAATCAAGAACTGCAAACAGTGCTGACGTAGTTTGACTCACACACACTCTTGTTCGAAGAACCCATCCCAACACACACACGCGGGCCCACAAACACATTTCCTGCTGAAAGAGGCAGCGGTCAAAAGTTTAAGGCATCCATGGAGTTGATTTTAAGTCTCACAGCTGTACATCTAAAGACGTCTGGATGAGTGGCAGTTTATTTATAAGGGCGCTGACAGCTGAGTGTTGAGGCAGGCGAAAAACAGGGGCAAGAGTGCTTTATCTGAGCTGGGCAGATTACTGCCAGTAACATGGAAGTTTGCCAAGAGGATTGGGAGGTAAGCAGCCTAGACCTGAGAAAACCAGACAAACCCTCATGCCCAGTGTTGAACTGTGGATTAGCACTTTCCTGGGAGACAGTCGCATCACATGACTCATGGGATCAAGGTCTTATGTCTGCAGGGAAGAGCTGTTTAATCTTGAGGATTGCTCTTTTGATGATGCTCCATAGGAGGTGGCACAAAGACACACCGCCGATCAATGTGTCATCAAAATTAGGGAATCATCAGCTGATAGCCTGTGATTGATCTTTGATTGGTTCTAAGATCTCTGATTGATCAATTTGTATTTGTAAAAGCTCCACATGGTTTAATTTAATCTGTTGGGTTAATGTTTCATGGCTGGATTAGCGTAATTGGGTTCTACCTGTTGCGTGTATGTTTGTTTGTGTATAAATTCATGTGTGCTTTATGCATATGTAACGTAAAGTGGATAATTTCCTGTCTTTCAAAACGATATTTAACATATTTATCTATATTTGTCCCGATTTTTTTCTCCCCAGTTTGGTTTTTCCAGTTTCTCATTGGTTTCCTCTACCTACCAGACCAACCAGTAGTGAATAAAGTGACAAAGACACAATCCCCTGGCTTTTCAACCGCAACCTCTGCCATCTGTGTATACTGGAAAACATAACCAACCACTAAACCCTCATTAAACCCGGACTGAACCCAGATGGTGATGTGTGATGTTTTAAGACCTGTCAATTACAAATAGAGTTCACAAATAATCATTATAACCTTTTATAACTAACGTGAAATAACAGATTGGTTTACCACATTACAGCTCTTCAGGCAGTAGCAGGGCAGTTGTCAAAAACAAAAGGCATTTTCACATAGTCTGTTTCAAATGTCTTTTTTTAGCAATATCAACATTTGCCAAATTTACTGATAAAAGAATTTCTAAAAAGCAATCATTAATATCTGTAATCAGTGATATGTCAGAGCAGGCAGAACACAAAATTAAACCTAGTCTAAAAAAATTATATTATTCGTCAAAAAATGTGATCTTGTGTATTTCCATGGTGTTGCTTTTCAAGAATCAACTTCCCTTTTTGACAGTCACCATCAATCTGCACATCTCTGGAACTGTAGTTTCCCCATTTCATGTATAATCAAGACAAGCCTGTTTGAATAACCCTTAAAGTCATACTCTCGTAGGGATAAAACAAAACTACAGTATTAGATTAAAATAAACATAACAAAATCTGTGATAACAAGCAAAGAGTCATGTGTGAATGTGTAAAGAACCAAGATCAAGAGGGCAACCAAGTAAGAGTTGGGTTAGACCAAGTAAGATACAAACTAACTTACATTTTGATACTTAAATTTCCTATTTGGGGTTTAAAAAACTATTCAGAGTTCAGGATCAGGTAAGAAAATGAAAAATCTCTCCTTGCCAATTGCAACTCTAGGCCAAACACTAAAGGTAACCAAGTGTTTGCCATCTGGGACTGTGGGATTTGGGAACACCTTGGCTTTAGGAGCTTAGGCTGGCAGAACCATCTTTTTAAGGATAATCTGTAAGTGGAGCAGTGGGAGCACAACGCCTCCCACAAACTGTCAAAGGACTATGTCACTCTTCTGATAAAGATTAACAAACTGGATGTGTCAATGTCTCACATGATTTATTGATTCTGTCTTTGCTTTTTCAAGAACAAACAGTCAAGATACATAGCATACCATGCATACCAATACAAAACCCGCGTCAGTGGGGTGTGTGGGCCTACATAAAAAACCATAGGGACGGGTGTTTTGACATGTGTCATTTGCTATAGGTGTGAATTACCCTTGTTCATTAGCCTTCTGACTGGCTCTGCTGAAAAAAATATTAACAACAAACCTAGGTAAAATAGGTATGTGTCAATCAAAATATAGAAAAATACAACATCACCCCATCTTACCCAATCATATTACAAAGGTTTTTAAAAAGTTATCTCTTTCTACACATAATAATTGGTGTTCTGGCGGGATCTGGGGGGTTGCCTGATGACGTAGCTAATTAGATTTCACCTGCCCCCCTTGTCCTCAGTCATTTAGTTATTCTTTCTATTTGACTGTCAAGACGGTTGTTCCAGTTTTAAGGGACTGAGTAAGTGAGGACACATGTACTTTATGCGTGTGTGAGTGTGTGTGTGCATGAGTAAGTGTGTGTCACCTGTGTCAATGATGCCGGGATTGGAGTGAAACCAGGTAGGTAAAACAAGACCGCTGAAGGTAGAGAAGCCGAGGATGAGGAGGTTACGGGATGAGTTAAGGTCCACATACTGGGGAGAGAGAAAAGGAGAGTGAGAGAGAGAGAGAGAGATTTTGCTTTGTTGTTCTGCTTCAGCTGGCTTCCATCTATGTTTTGGAACTACACTAAAATTTGATTAGAAAATACTTGGAACCTCAAAAAGACCTGATTTCTATTTTGGCAGTCAACACAGGCCAGACTGAGGGCAACCCTGTCTATAAATGTGCTCTGACTGATTTATTAAATTGTAAAGAAGCAACATTTTTCCAGCCCCATTACACCAGCTGAATGTGATTCTGTGGGGAGGTTTGACACATTAGTTGATCAATAAAGAGCAAATGACTTATGGCAAGCCGTTTTAACATTTATTCTTTAAAAATGTTACAACGGTTCGCCATAAATAACGTGCCCCACTTCTGAGTTAGCTTCTGTTCTATTAGCTGTCAGTTCTCATGTATTTTCCCAATGAGGATTTCTTTCACTAGTCTTTCTGAAAGCCTGGAATGTGATACTGGAGATTTCTGTCCATATTTTAAGCTACATCCGAGCACTTCGACTTCGGCAAACAATTATTTTGTATATATTATATACTGTAACTCCCAAGAGGTTTGACAACAATGACAAAGACTCAAGGGAGTTGTTGTTGTTGTAGTTGTAGTTATTCAGTGCCTACAAAATAATCATTGGAATTTAGACACAAAACCCTGGTATCATGTTTCATCTTTTTACAAAGACTGATGAAAATCCTTATGGGGAAAATACACTGTCTGGGTGGGTGTATGGCTGTCCACAATATTGATTCAGTGATTACAATGTTGCAAGTACATAGGAAGTACAGTATTTCTGTATTTTGAGTTAAATTTTCCGGCAAAAACTCCCTCAAACTCAATGTTGCTTGAAATCTAAAGAACTCCGCACTGAAGTATATTTTGTTTTCTTATTTGTAATATACATATTTAGCGATTCATTTTTCAGTTTTTCTGATTTTAATTTGTTAAATGTCATGTTTTTATAGCACTTCAAGCTACACAAACACAGTTGAATTAATTAGATGCTTGTATTTCTAGTCACAGGGTCAGTACCAGAGCAGCACCACTGGAGTCAGTTAGTCTCGGTATCTAGTTCAAGGACCCTCTAGCAGGGTGGATGCTTTGTGACTCTGGGTCTTAGGACGTCCACAAAAAGGAGGTCATCTCATTATTTATTTATACATCAGGTGCTTTGGTGTCCAAATATATGTCACAATATTTAACTTTGTTTACCTGGAGGTTGGATATCCCCACCGCTGCGATCATTCCAAACATAACGAGGAACATGCCTCCAATCACAGGGTCTGGTATGGTGATAAAAACTGCTCCAAATTTCCCAAAGATCCCCAAGACGATCATCAGAATGCCGGCCGTCTGGAGGACCAGTCTGCTCCCAACCTGGCGTGACATTAGCACAGACACTCATTATACAGTGTATACAAAATGGTTTAATCTATCAGTCTCGCCATGCCAGACATATTTTTACCAGGAAGCTGAGTGGGCAAAACCTCAGACAGGTTAACAAGAAGCCTATTCATCTCATTTGCAATGTTTCTGAGTTGGATGTAGACACGAAACAACCAAGTATGTGGCCTCAGAAAAAGAATTCTCAGGTCAAGACTGCAGTTGGCAGAACCCATAAAACATTCAGCGGTAGCACAGGCTTTGATCTGCAGTGTGAGCTGTACTGCTCAAAGACAGGCTATTATTTAAGACAGGCTTGAGTAAATCAAACTGACACACCGTGGTCCAGTGCAATATACTTTTTACATACCATTCTTCATGACACAGTTATGTTGTGTGTGGCATGAAGGAACTACAAATGTTAATCCTTCTGCAGCCTTGTGCTGTACAATAACAAATAAACAACCTTGTACCTTGAAAATGCCAATGAATACATTCAAAACATGAATGTCATCTGTGTTTGTCAAAGGAATACAGAAAGGTTCTGGATGTGTGATGATAATTGCTCCACATGATGTTGGTTGTGCTATTAACATGTAGTTTTACTATTCAATTTAAACAGAATGTGAATATGATATTTTTGAGAATAGCCACTAATTTTGCAATATACATCTCCAGTATTCAGTATAATCTTTACCTTTGTATGTTCCCAAAACAATGTGGTTTTAATTCTCCATTCTAAGGATTTACTAAACAAAGCAAATGTGTGCTTGATGTTGTTCTAATATCTCCGTTTCTTCATGGTGGAATTCATGAGAATAAGGTTTAGTGCTTTGCAAAAGTAGTTCAACAGTTATGAGGACCCACAGTACACAAATTGAATCTAATTTATTAGCTTCCACATCGGTAGCTCACTAAATAGAACAGTGACTCCTCCAGTTACAATATGACCATTTAAATTGCCAGTCTGGTCAGCAACTCAGACAGTGAGACTCACAAACAACTGCAGAGTACAACCAATAAATCATCCAAAATGATAGGTTTCCCCCACCATTAGTTGTATCACAAGACCATAATTAAATCCAAATATATCTTACGATGCTCACTATCCCTTCACATTTACACAATTGTAAATACTGTTTATTGGGTGACATGTTATATTGATGTGTGTCTATGTGTATGTATGGTGCTGACCACCAAGCCCAGTCATATTGGTATTATTATATTGGAACATAAATGCCTGAATGATGCCCACAGTAGATGGATTATATAAGGATTTTACATTATCAGCATAAACTCAGTGTCATGACAGGAGAAGTGCCCCTTAGCTGACTAAGCCAGACAGACATTAATTCCCCATGAATCAACATTATTTTTGCATTCTACAAGTAATTTAGTCTGCCCTCCTTTGGCACATAGCTGTGTTCATCACATGTGCAGAAGTAATACATTACACAGTATCTCACATGAGTGAGCTCTTGCAGCGTGAGTGTGGGTAAAGTCTGAAATTAACATGACAAACACAGTTACCCTCAAACATGCCAAAAATTGTGAATGATTAATATTTACTTAATGCTACTTAGAATACAGTGAATCCAATTTTACCTACTATCTAAACATTTTTATTAAAATCTAAACTTGCACATATTTTGCATTTATTTATCACTTATCACTTGATTTGCAAAATGCAAAGCAACTGATAATAGAAGATCAGATAACATTCAGGGTAAGATGTGACCCTTGTGTGCCTCTCAGATCCTTGAAGGGTTGAGCACACAAAAGTGCATGTCAGTTTTCATTCTAATGTAACTAAAGCATCACAGTGCTCTGGTACAGCTAAAATATCTATATAAATATAAAATATAATATAAATATTAAAAAAAATCCAAATGCGCACTGATTTTTAACCCAAATGTTCTAAAAATGAAATTTTATGTATGTTTATTAACATAAAAGGACATAATATGTTTGCAATTACATGTTAAGAAGGACAATGTCAGACATTTAAAATAAAAAACAATTATAACAAACAATTTAAATTTATTTTATATCTTCCTTCGCAACCTTGTGTTTCTTTCGTCCCAATCGGTTGGGACAGAAGAAACAATGCTCAACGTCCATTCTAACTCAAATAATACCGAAGTTATTCCACATTTGTACAAAAACAGCAGCAGCAGGCAGCTATTTTAAACAAACAATATGGACTGTTGAACTGATGAACCCACTGTTCCCAACCTGCTATATGGCAGAAAACGTTAATGACTAGCTGGTGAACAAAGTGTATCTAGTAGCTGAAGAGCTAGTGTTGTAGTACTTGAGACCTTTAAAAAGTGCTCTTGAGACCAGTATTGTCACTCTCTCAAACATAGAGGACTTTTTTCAAGACCAGTCAAGCCCCAACTGTGGTGATATCACTAGCTTTATTTGTTAAGGTTCTTACTGTTATTGGATGTAAAAACTTTTTTAGCAAATGTTAGCTATACATATTAAGTTAACTACCTCATATACACTCACCTAAAGGATTATTAGGAACACCATACTAATACTGTGTTTGACCCCCTTTCGCCTTCAGAACTGCCTTAATTCCACATGACATTGATTCAACAAGGTGCTGAAAGCATTCTTTAGAAATGTTGGCCCATATTGATAGGATAGCATCTTGCAGTTGATGGAGATTTGTGGGATGCACATCCAGGGCACGAAGCTCCCGTTCCACCACATCCCAAAGATGCTCTGTTGGGTTGAGATCTGGTGACTGTGGGGGCCATTTTAGTACAGTGAACTCATTGTCATGTTCAAGAAACCAATTTGAAATGATTCGAGCTTTGTGACATGGTGCATTATCCTGCTGAAGTAGCCATCAGAGGATGGGTACATGGTGGCCATAAAGGGATGGACATGGTCAGAAACAATGCTCAGGTAGGCCGTGGCATTTAAACGATGCCCAATTGGCACTAAGGGGCCTAAAGTGTGCCAAGAAAACATCCCCCACACCATTACACCACCACCACCAGCCTGCACAGTGGTAACAAGGCATGATGGATCCATGTTCTCATTCTGTTTACGCCAAATTCTGACTCTACCATCTGAATGTCTCAACAGAAATCGAGACTCATCAGACCAGGCAACATTTTCCCAGTGTTCAACTGTCCAATTTTGGTGAGCTCTTGCAAATTGTAGCCTCTTTTTCCTATTTGTAGTGGAGATGAGTGGTACCCGGTGGGGTCTTCTGCTGTTGTAGCCCATCCGCCTCAAGGTCGTGCGTGTTGCGGCTTCACAAATGCTTTGCTGCATACCTCGGTTGTAACGAGTGGTTATTTCAGTCAAAGTTGCTCTTCTATCAGCTTGAATCAGTCGGCCCATTCTCCTCTGACCTTTAGCGTCAACAAGGCATTTTCGCCCACAGGACTGCCGCATACTGGATGTTTTTCCCTTTTCACACCATTCTTTGTAAACCCTAGAAATGGTTGTGCGTGAAAATCCCAGTAACTGAGCAGATAGTGAAATACTCAGACCGGCCCGTCTGGCACCAACAACCATGCCACGCTCAAAATTGCTTAAATCACCTTTCTTTCCCATTCTGACATTCAGTTTGGAGTTCAGGAGACTGTCTTGACCAGGACCACACCCCTAAATGCATGCTATAAAGAGTCATATCTTTCTTAAAAGTTGGTGGAGACAAAAACAGAGTTATTTAAAGGCTAATGTACCTAGATGTGTAAATATGCTCAATTGTTTGCTAAAATAAGTAAAATAACTTAAAAAGGTGATGTCAGGACTGTTGGTTTGCCAGCCTTTTGCAGAGTTCTTATGCTCTCAAGTGACCAAAAAGATCTGGAGTCTCTTGTACATGTACCTTGGTAATGCCAAGTGCAGCAATGTTCTGACTGTAGGAGGTGGTGCCATTTCCAGTTCCCCACAGTGCAGCCAGGATGCAGCCGATGCCCTCCACTGCAATACCTCGGTTTATGGCATGAGTCGGTGGAGGAGGGGCGCCAGACAAGCGAGCACAAGCGTAGTAGTCACCAATTGATTCCATGGTAGATGCCAAGACACCTGCCATCATACCCAACACTGACGACACACTCACTGTGGGCATACCCCATTGTCCTATGGGTACAGAGTAAGCATACTTTAGTTTCCATATAAATAGCTTCAGACACACAACTTAACGCTTAAAGACTCTGATTTCTGCCAATTTTCTGGATTCCTCACACAAATAATTCAACACGTGAATGTGAGCTGAAACCTATCTACAAGCCTGTGCTCTTTTTCTGGTGCAACAACAGACAGTGATGAGAAAAAGTATCTGATTAAAATTGTGATTATTGTTGAAGTTTAGTTCTTGACAAGATGAACTCACATATGACCTTCCTCCTCTAATCAGAAAACGTGTTGTTTTACAACACGTTTTCTGATTAGAAAACCTTTCAGATTAGAGAAGATAGAAGATTTTAATCTACACAGAATATAGTTATACCTCTTGGGCTTGTTGAGGGGTCCAAACAACATTGGGTGTTCATGGCAATAAATTGAAATTGAATCAGCATAAGGATTTATTAACCAAAATGGTCAAGGTTTTTTTTAAGTAGCACAAGCTCAGATTTCAATCTTTAGTGATACTTCTGGCTCGAACAAAGCCGTTGAGGGATCATGCACTTGTTGCTGCATGAGTGATTGCTGCTAGCTTTCTTGGTAAATATGGTAAAATTTGTCAACTTTCATGCAACAAAATGCAACAATGTTTTTAGATGCATTTGATTTAAAATTTAAAATTGTTATATACATTCGTTCAAGATATGTGAGATGATTACATTTTAATGAGCATCACTAAATGATACATAACGGCGGATAACATTCAACAAGGTTCTGTGTCTGGACTTGATACAGGGACGTTGCGCATACATACATACCAAACACCCGTGCTCTCTTTATACCTTAGTTTTTGGTTTCTCTGGTGGAGTGTAGTCCTGTAACGGTGAATGGCAATACAAAAATCTTTTTTCCTCAGCAATTATGGAATCTTCTTTTTTTCTTTTTTTGCGATATGCAAACCTTTCCACCTCAGCGAAGTGTAAAATTTTAGTAGTAGTAGTTAAATTGATTTCCACTCAGGATTTTCTACGTACAAACTGAAATGCACATAACGAAGGTGTTATGAGCCAGCGGTGTCTCCAACTCATCCCTTGTGTTTACCTCTGTTTTCCACCATTCTCCTTGTTTCCTGTCTGTTACCCTGGGCCTTTCTCATTTCCCAAATTTCTGTCATCTGGTGGAAATTTGGGAAATGAGAAAGGTGCTGCCTCTCTGTGTTTGTGTGTTGTCTGGGCGTGGCTACACTCCCTGGCCCCTGCTGACAAGCTCCAGCTACGCACCTGAGCCCCGTTCCACTAATCAGTTCCTGCTGTATATCAACCGCGGTCCTTCAGCTCATTCTTCGCCAGTTCGTCAGTTAACCTGAGTAGTATTACGCTACGGCCAGTTATTTCCTGTTGAAGATTGTCCTTGTATCGCTCTCTCTGACTCCGAACTAACCTTGCCATCTCTGTGTCTACATTTACATTTACATTTACTCATTTGGCAGACGCTCTTATCCAAAGCGATTTACATTTGAGGAACAGCATACAATCATTAACAGAGCATAAAATACAGCACGAGATCTACAACTGACAATACATAATAAAAGCAGCAGTAAATACTAGTAAGCTCTAATGGCACATATCGCATCAATGGGGTAAATACCTAGGGAAAGAAGTTACAGTTAACAAAAAGTGCAATCAATACAAGATAGTTGTAGGGGATAGAAGAGCACAGGAAGTGCATGTTATATGTTAGGAGTTAGAAGTGTTATAAGAGGAAGTGTTCTCAGAAGAGATGAGTTTTCAAGAGCTTCTTGAAGTTAGAGAGGGACGCCCCTGCTCTGATGGCGTGTGATAGCACGTTCCACCATCGTGGTGCCTCACCTGGCCTATAGAAAAAAAACTCTCCATCTCTTATTGTATCTAAAAGTAGTACCTATCTAAAAGTAGCATATTTGCATGATTTTAGCAATTTCCGATTATATCTACATGGTTTAATGTACTTATTGAAAGTCACTTTGGATAGAGCATCAGCCAAATAAGTGAATGTAATCAGTTGGGCTACTGTCTCCCAGAAAAACATGATGAAAAAAGTGTCCAGGCCATACGGTATATGCAGCTTAGTGACATTTATAAAATCTGGGGCACTTCTAAAGCAGGCTAATTTCATACCCATCTGCTACAGCTTCTTTCATCAATCTTCTTCAGGCATTTACCTCCAACCTCCTGGCATGTGTTGTATTCATCCCCAGTCACTTTGCTGTGAATATTGTGCACACTGCTGTGGTCCTATGTTATATGTCTGCTTATAAATCTGGGAGTGGTGATGGCGCAATGGTTAACACACATGCCTTTGGTCTGAGTGACCTGAGTTCAGTTCCCACTGTGACACATCCACCAGTGTGTCCCTGAGCAAGACACCAACCCCTAGATGATCTGACATATATAGCAATTGTAATTGTGCAATTGTAAGCTGCTTTGGATAAACACGTCTGCTAAATGAATAAATGTAATATCTATGTTTGTGATGTGTTGAAGGATGTGAATTGTGCAATAATGGCATAATGATGTTTTTCTTCAGTGTTATCTTTTATGCATGTCACTACAGGAACAGTTTCCCCTAAATGTATAGTTATTCTAATCCAACTTTCAGTACATTTGAAAACAGGCTTCAACAGGTGTGTGTCAAATTGTGCTTTAAGGCAGGCATTGACAGGTGAAGGTGTAAAAAAAGAAATAACTTTCATAATGACAGCTAAATTTGCAGAAAAGTTATTAGCTTTTTTCTCTAATTTGTTTGATAACTGTGATGGAGATGCATCAGCTTTGCCTAATATCAGATAACAGCACATTTCATTTGCTCTTTAAGACATCTTAAATAAGCTTATTTAACAGCCATGATCATTGTCAAATCAGCTGAAGATTTCCGTCATCAACATAAAAAAAATGTGTCAGGCATGAAAGAAGGGCTTTGGGTATATATTAGCAGAACAGAGTAAAACCAGCATATTTTTATTTTGTTTTTTGTTGTAAATATTCTTCATTCATAACCATTTATACACAGTGAATAAAATAAAGTCCTGCCGGTAACATTGCATTTTTCACTGTGTTAATAGGGAACATTTTAAGGCTGCTATCGTTAAAAAATGTTTTGTTTATTTGTTTCATTGGCACAGTGCTTATATCATTAGAGATTGTTTTCTGACTTTGTGACTATGGTGAATGGTCATGTGCAAATAATCAAAAAGTCATGAAACTTACATCAAACTGACCCTGCAAATGATTTTTAGATTTTCCACAAATATATAGATTGTTTTAGACATACATATGCATACAATATTTGACTAAACTTTGACTTTGAATATATGACAGATTATTTGAGATATTTCTATATCATTATTGAAAGATGAAAACCTTGAACTACTAAAATGATGATTATAATTGGTTTTGGAAATCAGTTCAAAGGTTGTAAAATTTTCTTACAGCAGCAAAACTTAGGAACACATGCTCCACACCGTTTAACTTTCAGTTATTGCCAACTGACAGTCAATCAGGAGGCTCCTTCAGGTGCAATTATGAAAATCGATCATTTTATAGATCTATCACGTCATTGCATTTTATATACTAAGCTCATATCTTAGTAGAGACATACTAAGAGACATACTTTTAGCAATTAAAGCAAAGGTTGATACTTTTCATATGCAGCAACATTTTAGCGGATCATTAAAGAACAGTTGTGCAACCCTCATCAAAGCTACAGAATTTCCCCTGTTTGCATTTGGTTTGGGTATTTGTCAAAAATGAAAAAAGGAGAGGCTGGCAGACAAGTTGAATAAATTGTAGTTTTTTCAGCAGTAAGGATATTTTTGACAATTTTTACAGCAATACTTGACAGATTGTTATTTAAGTATTTCAACTTCTGCAGGCAGCACTGATGTACCCATACTTGCATCTTGTTAACAAATGCATATACTGCATATTTTTTAAACATAATTTTTAATCAATACTATATGCAATATATTTTTGCATATACCGTAAAACTTTGATTAATAGCCCAGGCTTTTATTTGCTAAAATCACTGAAATGACCCTGGCTTTATTTCGGACAGGTGTCCATATGGGACAGGTCTTTAATTCCTCTTGCACAAAACTGAAATAGGCTACTATGAAACAGTTTATTTATTTCAAACTGAATATTACTCAATAATATCAAATCCACGTCATTCATTTGATCTAATTCTGACTGATGGCTTATGCGCTTTTATTTTGAAGGCAGCAACGTAACAACAACAGGGGTGCAGGACTTTTTATATACAGTCTATGGTGCAGGATGGGAAATGTGTGGGAGAAGTTAGGAGACGATGTACTTCACATGACAGGATTCACAACTTGGATTCATTTTTATGAAAAGCTGTTTTGAGTCTTTTGATCGGTGGACCCATACAGACTAAAGGAATATAAATAATCAAGGAACAGGGTTGGAGGCTATTTGGGAATAGGCTATTGATTGAAGTTTTATGGTATAATGTGTATATATACAAAAATATGTATGCGTGTTGCAACTACTAAAATCATGCTTTGTGAAATATATTTGTCAGGTTGAAATGTGACCAAGTTGGACCAATTTGGTATCAAGGATCAAATATATATATGTTTAAAGTATGATATTTGTGTAATTACCTGGGTAAGGCACATGGAACCAAGGGGAGTTTGTCACAGCATCTAGACTGATGTCAGTTCTGGCTGAGAAGCCGTACTCATCAGATTTTGAAGGAAGGACATCAAAGATGGTCAGTAAGAAGCAGACCAGCCAGGCACCACACATCCCGAACAAAGCCTAGAATATGTTATCAGACAGAGAGTGGCGCAGTACATTTAAACTGAAGTACAACCAATATAAAACATTAAAGCAACTCCTTAAAGGTACATTGTGTTAGAATTGAGAGTATTCCCCACCTAAAGAATAGGGGTTTGCCCCCTATTATCAGGTCATAACTGCTGCTAACTGCTTTTAAATGGTGTTAGCTACTTATCACAGTCATGCAATCATGCAGCTAACTTAGTGCAGCCCTATTATCTGAATGAGTCTTGAAAGGGCACCAAAACTGGAACTGGGATGATGAATGAATAGTTATAAAAACTTAACGTATACTTTAAAGTCAAAAAACCTTTGGGGTTTCTTTGTTATTTATTTAGACTTTTCTGGCTTTCACAGATGTGAGTCACACTGCCAAAATGTGCAGAGCCGCCATAGATAAAGCATTCCCAAGATTTTACCTTGAAGCCAAACTGACTCAAAGATCTTTTGTTCTTTGGAGGATTATTTATTTAGTCGGCATTTCATTAGCATCTAAATTCCTTCCTCACCACCCTTTTAAACTTTCAACGAGTTATACAAATTCACACCCAGGAGCTTCAAAGCATGGCCGAACCCCAACTAATTTTGGCTGTTGTTAAATAGAAAGAAATGTCAATTTATTGATGAAAAAAAGTTTCTTACATTGATCCTCATTCCAAAATATATGGATCTCCTGTCACATTGTATATAACTTTTGCATTTAAAGCGGCATGTGTATCCATTGAATTCTGGTTGACTGTGTGTTACAGTTTACTAGGGTGGACCCAAGCACAGGACACAGGCACAGGTTTAAGGTGAGTTAAGAAAGATTTATTTTAGGAAAGGGGCAATGGTGGATGGCAGAGCTGGTCTAGTCGGACAGATATGTCAGAGGTCGCACGCCTAGGTTACTAGCAACTAGGGGTTAAGTGTCTTGCTCAGGGACACATTGGTGGATGTGTCATAGTGAGGAGTTGAAACCGGGTCTCCCACACCAAAGGTATGCATCTTATCCACTGCGCCATCACCACCCCATGCCTTCTTCTATGGCCTTCAGATCCTGTAAAAATGGCTAGGCCAGGCAAGTACCATGGAAAGGTGACTCCTTGAACAGGTCATTAAGGGCTTGAAGGATTTGAGGCAGCTGGTCAGCGGAGTAGCCGGTTCAGGACAAGCAGGCAATGAGTTAGCTTGCTCAGGACAGGCAGGGTCAGGACAGGCAGGTGGTGGAGTAGCCAGTTCAGGACAGAAAGGCTGTAGGCACATGAACCCAAGCCTAATTGTGTGCAAGCAGGAAGCTAGCGGGCTGGATGCTATCAGGACGAGGCTCAGAGGAGGCTGGAGTGACTGGCTCAGAATGAACAGGATGAGGAAGAGACTTAAGATAACACTGTCGCCAGGAACATGCCACTATCTGGGCAATATCAGGGTCCCACATCCAGAAATGAGTAAGATGCCTCAAGAAGTCTGGATTTTTATAAAAAGTAAAAATAAAAAAAACAGCAAAAAACAACAACAAACAAGACATCTTATGTCTCTCCAAAGACATTCCAGGAAAAAGGCAAGCAGTCTGCTTTTGGTCAGATCATTCTGTTACAAGGGCTGAATAAAGTAAAAAATATTTATTGCAGAGCAAGCGGGGAGATTGGCTGCAGGTGAGAGGTAGCATACAGAGCAGGGTAGCTGTGCAGGGCTGAACAGCAAGCTCGACCAGGTGAGGTGGAAATGACAGGGACCAGAGTTAGTACAGGCAGGGTTGCGAGGAAAACTTTAGAAATTTTAACCAAATAAGAAGAACAAGATGCTGGTATATGTGGCTTGAAGCGTAGCAAACACTAACTGGTAGCAGACTCTACAATCTGGCAGAGTGGAAGTGGCAGGACTTAGTATTTGTAGAGGTCTTGATTATTGAGATGAGGTGCTGCTGCTCTGTCTCCAGCACACATGTCTCCACTCACACAATCTAACACACACACACACACACACACAGGACAGAGCCACTGAGGGAGTGGCAGCAGGTTAAAGGGCACTGACACTGCAACCAGAAAAGGATTGTGGTTGTGCTCATCAGCCTTCACACTAACTAAAGGTATGTAAATGCATGAATGTGAAGCAGGGCAGATGTTAAAAAGAGCGTGTGTTGAAGTGTTTAGCAATGGGGCTTACATCATCCCACAAAAGACTTTGGCTGGGGTTGTGTTTGTTCAAGTCCAATGCAGACCCAGAAAAGACCCCAACCCGAAAAGAAGAAAAAAAAGATGTGTATTTATTTTTTCCAGTTACATTGACTACTATTTTGTGTTAAGAAAAAAGGTAGCATTTTGCAAGATTCAGATATATAATAGACTTCTAAAAGGTTATATCTTGGTGTCAGCTCTACACACAGACTAATCCACATGAGTAGGATTTCCTGTTCCAGGCCTCCCTGACATGAGGATGTTACCTAATGTGAAAGGCCAACTAACCTATAATCTTTCACAAACCTATTTTCTTTAAAAGAAGTTGTTTGTCCATGCTGAGTATGTGGATCAATTGTGACTAAACAATTCCTGTAAACATTATTTGTACTGGTATAAGATGACAAAATCTTCACAGAAGCTTAAGGAATGTATACAAGAACACTTCCCATAGGAAAGCAAAATCTAAGAAGTGATCTCATAGTTGTTTCTTTCATTTCTCAAAGACACAAATGAGCTACTTTTAATACTAAGATGAGACCATGGCGTTTTCTCCTACTTCTCAAATTCAACTCAGGAGAAACCACCACATATAATCTCATTTATGTTTTACTCTGACCAAAACAAGAGATCTCTACATCTAAGTCTAATTTAAGTCTCCAGAACATGGGACCATGAGATAATAGAAAGAGCTCAAAGAAAACTCAGCTATGACTCCTGGGATCTCAAGATTCTTCTCAAATATGTCTCAGATTTTTCATAGTGACCTCAGTAGAAGCAACCGCATTTAACCCATCTGTGTTAATCTCTGATCAAAAGATCACTCTAAATGATCTTAAATAAGTGTAATTTAAGTCTCCTTAGCGACCTCACTTAAGGGTAAGTAAGTAAGTAAAGTTTATTTGTATAGCAACTTTCACAGATAAAAATCAAACAAAGTGCTTCACAATAAAATGTAATACAACACAACAAAGTAAAATACAATGCATACGAAAATTTAAATACAAATGGAAAGAAATGGAAAGAATCAAAAGAATTCACACAGCGTAGAAAGGTTGGCAAAGCATTCCACAGCCAAGGTGCCACTGCTTGGAACGAACAATCCCCTCTGGTTTTAAAATGAGTGTAGGGAACCACTAACAACCTCTGACCTGATGACCTCAAACTACGGGTCGGAGTATGAAGCTGTATCAACTCAGAGCTGTAGGGAGGAACTTGACCGCGCAGGGCTCTAAAAGTAAGAACCAGGATTTTAAATTGAATTCTATACTGGACTGGTAACCAGTGAAGTGCTGCTAAAACAGGTGTGACGTGTGCTCTTTTGTTAATGTCAGTAAAAAGCCTTGCAGCAGAGTTCTGAACAGCCTGGAGATGGTAAAGCTCCTTCTTGCTCAAACAAGTAAAAAGACTGTTACAGTAATCTAAATGAGAGGAAATAAAAGCATGAATGATCATCTTCAACTCACCCTTTGACAGCAGTGTTCTTAATTTGGATAAATTCCTTAGTTGGAAGAAACAATTTCTGACTAGTTGTTTGGAGAGGTACTCTAAGGACATCGCTGAATCAAAAACAACACCTAAGCTCCTGAGGCTCGGCTGGACAGACGAGCCTAAGTCAACAATATGCTTTTTAATCTGAGGGATTCTAATTTCAGGGGCGATAATAAGTGTTTCTGTTTTCTCTGAGTTCAGAAGAAGGAAGTTGTCACATAACCACTGTTTAATACGGGTCAAGCAGTTAGTTAAAGAAGACAATTTATGGAACTCAGTTTCCTTGAACGAACAGTACAGTTGAATATCATCCGCATACAGACGGTAAGATATGTCACTGAATTGACTAATGGGTGGAAGATAAAGTACTTTTACTCAAGTCAAATGTTGAGGTACCTGCACCTGAGTATACTTGTTATACACTTGATATCAGTTGAATATAAAACCATTATCTAGCACACAATACCAGACTATTTAAAGTAAATCTCACTTGCCTTCAGGCTTGCATATTGATACTGATTGGCTGACTTTAGCATGATACTGGATTTTGGTGTCCATAGCTCCTCAAAAATATAAATTTTTTCCATTATAGAAGACAAGCAGTATGCATGAGATCAGGATTATGTTGACAACTCACAGAGAAGAGTTTGAAGAGCGGATAGTTGAAAACCTTCCACTTCTTATCTTTGTAAGCAATCATTGGAACATCAACTTTGCTGAGATACTGAGAGAACAGGAGGATCAGACAGACCGTGCTGTGGGAAAACAGAAGACAGGGCAAAATGTGTCACTCGCAGTCGATTCCCCCAAGGCCCAGCCCTCGTACAGCTATTTGTGCTTAAGGATAGCTTCCATACATCAGTTATGGGGAGGTCAGAGCAAGTGAAAACATGTAATTTTATACAGCAGGTGTGCCTACATGATACTGATCATTTTACAAGTGTTGGGAAAGAGGCCATCTGAACATTGTAAAATACTTTACTCAGTTTCTTACCTTTGAATGGCATTTCATGCTGTGCAAAAAACACTGCACACCATGCATGAAATACTGTTCAAAACCAATTTCAGTGTCATGGTGCATGGTATTTTAGTGGGTAATTCTGCAGTCTGGTGGACACTTAAAAAGTTACTGAAAATGATAAAGGCTTATATAAAGGCTTATTTTATTTTAGAGAAAAGAATGAGTTCCCTTCTGCATGTTTCAGCGCCACTGTATTAAATATAATGGTCAAGTCATTAAAATCTGATTTGAAACATTTACATTTTATCTGAAACACTGATCCAGATTAAATGTATGACCTCAGCAGCAGCAAAAACAATCGAAAAACCTAGGTGGATATATTGAATGAAAAATATGTGCTTAGTCTACAAAATACCAAATTAGAAGAAATTTTAATTGCTCTTAACCAAGTAAACCACGACATGGTCAGGAGGGGGTTTTTTGCATTCAGAGGAAACGATGCAGGAGATGGCTATGTGTTATTGGGGAGAGATATCATTGGGCTTATGACTTTATATGTATATTAATGATAAATACTGTGATGTAAAAATGTGAATTCAGAAATCAAGCATTAACAAATAGAGAGCCAGTCTGACATTGACATTTGATTACTTTCGTAATATGTACTACCTCAAGCATGCAACTGTGGATTTTTCACCCTCACTGTGCAAACTGGCAGAGTCTCTGTCAAAAAATTGTGTGTGCGGGGAGAGTTGAATTACAACCAAAAGATATCTGTGTCTCTGTTCCTGTATGGCACCAGGAGGTGGATGTGCTGAACCTTTTAAAACCCACAACGATCATTCAATATAATGACTTTAGTCTACATTATCTGGAGATGACAGTAGTAAATGAAGACAAATTTCATGGAGTTGGACAGGGCAAGAGCTAAGGTAAATGATAGGGCAGTTAATGTGACACAGGGAGTTGCAGTATTTGTGGAGATTCAGAGGATCTCGGTAAAGAGATGAAGGGGTGGAAACCAGGTAATTTGACATTCGGCTGCACAGAAACATGGCAATTAAATTTTGTTTGAGTGTGTCAACAGGATAGTTGGAATGAATAGTATGGTATAGGAATGGTATCTGTTTTCGATATGTTCCTATCTTACTGTATTTGTCAAGCTGAAAAAATCTAAAGAATGCAAATTGCAACTTTCACTCCTAATCCTATTAAGATAGAGCAGAGATGACAGGACAGTACATACAATGTTTTGTTGACAATACAGTTTAACAGCACCACAGCCTCCAAAATGACCATAGAGTTAATTAAACTAAAGATTAAAACCTTCATGCTGAATGTACTTACAGACATATCACAAAATAAAGGAAAAACGGAATAAATTAGTTGAACAAATACAGATGCTTCAATGGGTATGAAGGGTTCCTGAATAAATTGATGAAAATTTTGTGAATTATACAATATGACCCTCACAATCCCTGGATCTTAACCCAACTGAATACCTATCATTTGGAAGAATGGTGTTCATCCCCTGCATACAGAAATACTATAATAAAATGTTGATATTTTTTGTGCAATACAGGAATGTAAAACAACATCCACTCACAGAGCAGCTATTCCCCAGTGACCTCCACACTTCTTGCCAGCTTCACTGAACAATGACAGGCCGATGAGGTTGATGGTAGGAGCGATAGCCAGCGGGCCGATGTATTTCAGCACGAGGCCCACCAGCCCAGAAAAGCCCAGGACAATCTGGAGCAGAGACGACACAAGGATGGCTCCCTGGATCTGTGGATGACAAGAAAAGAGTGACAAAATTGAGCTATATATGCCAGATTTTTTGGTACTCAACTGTGCATCATGTAGCACATATAAGTCAGTGTATTTTCTTTTTCAATGCTAGCTTAGATGATGTTAGTTTATGCTCATTTCATGACTGTGAATGATTGCACTGGTTTTCTAATTAATTGATTTAACAAAAATCATAACTGAAACAAAGTAGTTGAACAAAACAAATTCAAGAAAAACAAAACTTTCATTCCACTTTTCAAGTAAATCAGGTCTAGACCGTACTCTCTGTAATAGTATTTACAGAGACTGCCACCATGAGCAAGCACTTGGTAACAGTGGCAAGGAAAAAAACGCCCTTTTAACAGGTAAAAACGTCAAACTGGACCAATTCAAGCCTTCTCTCTGTAAAATATAGTTAATTTGTGGTGTTTGCAACTTTTGTACAAAAACTTTGTGTGAGCTTTCTGAATGCACACATAGAGATAAGCAGAATGTTATGACCATCGGCATTTACATTAAGGTGTGGAAAAATGATACAGGATCTTTATCGTTAAGTTACCACTGCTAAGGTGACTGATTCTGTGTGTGGGCGCAGAGATAAGATACTGAGAATCATATTCTGCTTCCTGAATACTTTACATACCTCACGCATTCGTGACATCCAGACCTCATCAGAATTCTCACTTTGCAGTGGACTGGTGACATTGTGCAAATGCACAGACAGCATCACAGATGCTTTTGGGTCTGGACACTGCCACTTGGGCAGAGCGAGAATGGCCAGGGTTGGAGTGATGAAACTGAAGGTCCCACCCTGGAGGATTGGTAACCTGCAAGTCAGTATGGTGACAGGGTTAAAGGTCAGATGGCACTGGAACAAATAATGTCAGGTCTCTAAGGACTAGGATGACATGGATTTGTTCAAAGAGGGGAAGAGCAAAGAATTTTAATGAGCAGGTTGGGAAGCAAGGAATAAAAACAATATAGTATTAGTGCAAGTAGTTTTTGGGTGGACTAAAATAAATCCCATGACTGAGTAACCTAAGGTACATACCTAAACAGGAAGTACGTTAAGTAAGTTCAAACTAGCTCAAAATGTTCACATTGTGATATTGTCAAATGGAAGAATTTTATAATTAGAAACTGTCTAACAAAGAAAGTACATTTTCATTTCACAAGCTACTTGCTTTTAAGAACTAAACTGTATCTGAAGAGGCTGTGCATTTTTAACTTAAACTTTGCAACAAGTTGTTTACAACATGGAAACGCATGTTTCCACATCGGCTTTGCATGAAATAATGTGGACTGTGCATGTATTTATTTTGCTTTTTGTGTTGTCGGGTTTGTATTTCTATTCATTTTTGTCTGTATGTTAATTTTACAATTTTGAAAGGGGAAAAATATAAACATTACCTTACTTATTATTCAATGTCAAAGTGTTTGTTGGGATTGCATTTTCATTACTTAAAGCTTTTGCCAAAATGTAGGTGAGACTCTAACAAAAGCATTAGCTATTTGCTCAGGCTTCCTGTTAAAGCTGTGCTGAGTGGGCCAGGAAGTGTATGTGGAGCCCTGCACTGAATTGTACTGTATGTGTGGGAGTCAGCTGCAATGTGGTTAAGCATAGATGTTGATGATCAGTTTCAGAAGGATTTTCCAATCAAAGTAACATTTCTATCGTAAAAGGAAATTTACAAATTAAGCTGTGTATAAATTTGGTGATCATAAGGCTTTAAGGAAAACTATTTCAGAACTTATCCTAAAGGGTAAATCTCATTTCCTCTGTTTGTGTCACGCATGAACCAACGCAGGAGTCTCTGCATGAGCTGTAGCTGTTGTAACTTCACGCTGTTGCAAATGCAGTTCAACGCTGCTTTGGCTGGGAATGAAGTTTGTGAAACTATTACAGGACCACTACAAGGAGGCAGTGTGTAGACAGGGGTAACATGTAATTCTTAATTTATTAAGAGTAAAATACTTCCTTGTCCTTATCTAAAATGAAAAACATTTAGGGCAAAGGTGTGTGAAAAGGAAGTTAAACTGTAGTTTCCTTCATCTTCACGGGGGAATTCCCCCAGGTGACACCTTCTGTAATCTTAAACCTGTCTGACAGCGATACTAAAAATGTGAGCACGTATACAGTGCATCCTGGAAAGTATTCACAGCACTTCACTTTATCATTTTGTCATGTTACATATATTTTACAAAATGGATGAAATTCTTTTTTTCCTCAAAATTCTACAAACAATACCCCATAATGACAACTTGAAAGGAATTTGTTTAAAATCTTTGGAAATTTATTAAAAATAAAAAACACAAAAAAAGCACATGTACATGAGTATTCACTAGCTTTGCTTGATTCTTTGTTGAAGCACCTTTGGCACCAATTTTTAAGTATGCTGCTACAAGTTTGGTCACCTATTTTTGGGCAGTGTCCCCTATTCTTCTTTGCTGGACCTCTCACCTCCATCAGGTTGGATGGGAGCCAAGGAGTTCAGTCATACCAGACAATTTTGTTTCTCATGGTCTGAGTCCTTCAGTGCCTTTTATTGAGGAGTGGCTATGGCCAGTCTACAATACAGGCTTGATTGGTGGAGTGCTACAGAGATGATTGTTCCTCTGGAAGGTTCTCTTTGCTCTACAGAGACACGTTGGAGCTCTGTCATCGCTCAGTTAGGCCAAGCTGCCAGGTGGTTCCAAACTTCTTCCATTAACGGATGACAGAGGCCACTGTGCTTCATGGGACCTTCAATGATGCAGACATTTTTCTGTACCCTTTCCCAGGTCTGTGCCTCAATACAATCCTGGCTCGGAGGTCTAGACAGTTCCTTGGACTTCATGGCTTGTTTGGTTTGTCCTCTGGCATGCACTGTTAACTGTGGCACAGGGGCAGATTGGCTATCAGGAATTTTGGGAACAATCCCGAACGGCAGGTCAATTTCCGGTCGAATCGGCCGGTGTACAAGAGTTTTATTTGTTTGTTATGTTCAAGTGACAAAAATGTTGGCACAAGCAGCTAAACGTGTCAAATTAAATCGACTCCTTCTTTGGTGGAAAGGTGCTGTGGCAGCGCAGATGAGGCAGGACCCAGCACAGGCACTGTTAAGTAATGCATTTATTATAACCTGAGATTATTATTTATATATGCATTCATAGCCATATATGCTATATTATTATTATAAACAACAGTTGGAGGAAGAAGGAAGAGGAGGAAGAACAGGAGGAGCTCTAAGAGGAGAAACGGGGAAAAGGAGCAGAAGCAACAGGAGGAGTAGGATGACGATGATGACGACAATGACGGAACCAGAAACAGTGACAGGTACAGGGAAGGTGTGCAGGGCTGGATAGGCAATCATCCATAGATAGAATTAGAAAATGGATTATTGTTAGTTATATTTATTACCAATGTTCTTCTCATGCATATGTAGCTGTACAATCAGTACAAGCAGAGTCAGTGTCCAGCACCGGGGAGCTGAGCCAGGAAGAGGCCCACTCAGAGCTGAAGCTGAGGGATTTGATTTTTATGCACACACATACACACTGCTCTATTTTATGAAACTGCATTGTAGTTTTTGATTACTTTTAAGTATTTTAGCATTCTGACTGACTCAGGCTTGCCTGACCTGGTCTTGTTCAGTGCAGTGGTGACTTGCTTATACAAACAAACAAAGAGGAGGGTGTCGTAAAAAATGTCTTGAAGGTCTTCATCATAATGAAATTGACTGTATACAAGTACAACACTATATATTAAAATAACTGCAAAAACCTACATGACGCTTGCATAAAAGGCATCTCCGTCTCAAAGTCCTGGGCTGAATTTCAGTCCAGTATATCCCTGCTCTGGGAGATTTTACATAGACATGTGTTTGCCTTTCCAAATCATGTCCAATCAACTGAATTTACCAGAAGTGGACTCCAATCAATTTGTAGAAATATCTCAAGGATGATCAGTGGAAACTGGATGCACCTGAGCTCAATTTTGAGTGTCATGGCAAAGGCTGAATACTTGAATACTTACTTACATGTGCTTTTTTCATTTTTTATTTTTATTAAATTTGCAAGGATTTCAAACAAACTTCTTTCACGTTGTTGTTGTTGTTGTTATGGGGTATTGTTTGTTGAATTTTGAATAATGAATTTCATTAATTTTAGAATGAGGCTGTAACATAAATTGTGGAAAAAGTGAGTGCTGTGAATACAGAGCAATAACTAACATTCCACAAAGGCAAATATAAGAAGCTCACACACAAGCAAAAAAAGGAAAAAGAGGGAAAAAAAGAGACTTCTTAAGAACTCTATCAGTATTTCTGTGTGGCTTGGTACTTTCCGGTTCAATTGTGCTGTGAGAAAGGGGATGTTACCTGACACCGACAGCTGTCTGCAGCAGCGTACATAATCCCGACACAAAGAATATTGTGGATATGAGCTGGCTTTTGGCGATGTTGTTGTCCTTTATGCAGAGGGGCTCGGCCAGGATCAGCGGGACTGCGATGATGCCACCAAATGCGAGGATGTAATGCTGTGGAGGCAGATGTACATTTGGGGTCTTTTTATTGTGAGGAATGATACATAAAAATATGATTCTAAAAACATTTCATAATAGCTGATACGTATTTAGGTAGTAATTGTAGTTAGTCTAACTAACTAATTAGGCTGCCATGGGTGTGGGTACCAGGCTTTGCCAAAGCGAGCTTTTCTGTACCTCAGAGACCTGTACTTTAGCTCTGAGGGTAGTACAGTGAATTGGCGATAAAGTGGGTGAGTGATACCCTGTGCTATTAAGTTGTATGATTTCCACTTCCTTTGTGTCATTGAGTATATGGCATAACACCTTTGCCTATTTTTTTGAAGACAAATCCCATATTAGCCCCTTTAAGTTATTATCACTGATATTTATCACATCTATGGTCCTATTTAAAAGCACAGGCTGTATGAAACATGGCAACACACTCTGGATCATTCACACACAAACAAGCAAGTACGTAAGTAAAAAAGTACACTTTATTTGTATAGTACAGACATAAGTCACAAAGTGCTTTACAAAAATATTAACATACAAAGAAAGAAATCACAGAAAATTGACCACCCAAGCCACATGAAGCACAAAAAGTGCTAACTAAAAAGCACTGTCGCCTATATAACATACACAATAAAAATACATAACAAATAAACATTACGGAATAAAATACACAATAAATTCATAGAATGTAATAAAAATACACAATTAATACATAAGAGTGAAAACTGAATTTGTAAAGCCTGATCTCAGGGAAACTCTGGGATGTCTGTTTCAGAGATAAGTTAAACCCTAGTTGGTAGGGTAACTTATGCTATGAAGCTAACCTTCTCAGGAGGAGGTTTACAACAGTCATGTGTCATGTTGTGATTATCTGCACTGATGGAACATCCCTATCATAGTTATTATGTTGGAGATAATTTTAATATTTCTGAGTGAGGATAAGTGTGCAGCTGAAACCACCAGATTCTAAAACTGGAGTAAATGTAGCTTAAAAGTGAATATTAGCTCCTTAGCAACTGGTAATAAGGACTGATTAAGCAATACCCTGTCTTTTTGGCAAGTGCAATACTACACACTACATATTTCAACTGGTAGAAAGGTGCATTGGTTAGCACAGTGCAATCCCAATTAATGTCATAAGGATAATTGCAAAAGAGACACTTCTTCTTATGTTATTTATAGCCTAACCCAGACATGAATCATGTTAATTAAAGACTTAAGAAGAGGAATAAGGCCCGATTACTTGCCTAACCATGAGGGTAACTTGTTCTCAAGCAACATCCAGAACCTCCATCTTATCAGCATTGAGCTTTAGAAAGGTTCTTCCGTCCTGTCCCTAAAAGCTTTTAGATAGTGTAGGAGCCTGGATAATCCAAAAGCCTCTCTAGGTTTGCAATGGGGCTGAATATTATCCACAAATAAATTATATTAAAAATAAATAAGTATTTATATTCACTAATGCGGGACACCAGAAGATAGTGGAGCGGAATCAGACACAAAGGCTCCAATAGAGACAGAGAAACTGTGTTAGTGAGATAGAATGAAAACCAGTCTAATACTAAAACAGTCTAATACTAAAACCCTCCGTCCAACCTAAACGACAAAAAAGGTGTTTTGTCTTTGCCTTTGAAAACATCAACTTTTATTGTGGTCTGATTCTGCACCACCCAAAAGACTGTTTGTCAGTGCCTTCTAAATCTGTCACAAATGACATTAAAAACATGATACACATGAACAATTTCTTAAGTGACACCTCTATGGTTATGTGTAGTGTAAGAAACCAACTTGGTTTTGGTCCCCTCTTTTTATTGTCAGGTAAATGCTGGTTGAAGGTCTTTTAAGTGTTTAAACAAACAAAAAAGGCAAAGCCAGTAATACTGAGCAATTTTTTTTTTTAAATTTGAACATCTCTGAATAAACACCTGGACCAGCCTCAACTAAATTATAAGCCTCCTAAAGGAAGTATTAATTTATTACATTGGTATGCATTATGTTGTATGGTGTCCTCTTTCTTTGTGTCATTGAGTACAGAGCATAAAACCTTTGCTTAGTTTTTAAATCCTGGATATTAGCCACTTTATTAGCCACAAATTATTTCATTAGTATTTAAAACTTTCATGGTCATGTTTAAAAAACACAGGCTGCAGTAAACCTGGTGGATGCAGTATTTTGTCATTACTGCATCACATATATGATGATATATTTAATATGCATGAGAAACCTCTTGTTAGATAAATACACAGTCCATTTTTTCATTTAATAATTCTATACAGGCAGATTTGTGGATTGCAGTATTTAGCTTTTATGTTTGTATTTTTTCTGATTTTAAATCTACCTCTGAAGTATAGATAGATTTGAGTGCAGATTATCTGAGCAGCAAGAGGAATTGTATAATCAGGGACTCTCACGCTCCTAATAATTAAAGCTGCTCGTGCTCACTTCTGGCAGTCTGAATTCCCTGAGAGCAAACTCAAATTGAGGGCTCTTCTAATTTCTCTAATTTGTGCCTCCTCGTCTCCTCTCTTCTGTCTGTGACCCGGAATCGATCTCAAGATGCCATCTTGATTCTTAAAATGCATCTCAAGGAGAGAGGGGGCTTGCCGGAGGAGCTGTGAGCAAGGATCCACCTGTGTATCCTCTGCGGAAGTCTTTTGGGCACCTCTGATGTATAAAAGAGGAGTGACAGACAGCTGGACTTTGTAAACCATGGCGAGAGCCTACAAATGTAAGTGATCATTTTGTATTCATAAGTCTCATTAGTTATTTAAGAAGATCAAATGTGCGATCAAATTTTCTGCCCTCCACCGTTTGGATAGTGCCTTTTTTTCCCTCCGATGTCCTCTGGCTGTTCTGCCTCAACTCTGTGATTTATTAAGTTTAAGTATTAAGTATTTCGCTTTAGCACAAATCACCAAAAGTGGAGGCAGAGCAGGAGAACGACATCAGAGGTAAAACTAGACAATATTTACTCCATTAAATCTGATGCAGTTTCACTAAAACCAGTGAAGAATTTTTTTTTACAGTAATCAGTGAGGCCTAGGGTGACCATACCTTCTCTTTTTCCTGGACATGTCCTCTTTTTGCGAGCTAAAGAAATGCATCTGGCAGAGATTTCTAAATTGCCCAAAATGTCCAGGATTCGGCTTTTGCTTTTTACAGTCTGCATTTATTGATCAAAGTCACTTTTGTGAACCGACCAACCACATTAAAAAAAGGGGTTGAAGCTGTGTTAGAGCAAACCTTTGAAATGTTGAACTCGTTCTGCATGACTAGTTATTTTGATTATTGACAAGTTAGCACTTAGCATTAATAAATTATGGACTAACCACCAGCATTTTTATTTTTTATTTTTCTTGTACCTACTAGTCATAAGCTATAGATGATAGGCCTACTATCTGAAATTATACTGAATATACTATTGACCCTAATCAAGTCTTATCAAGGCAGAAAACGGTTTTGTTTGTGAATCAGTTAATTTGTTGAATATCAATAAGCTGAAATGTTACATATAGTCACCCTATAAACAATCTAGCAGAGGATGCCTAAGCCCATTGTTGGCACTGGTGCGCAAGGAAATATAAAAGTGGTTCACACAAAGTTGGTAAATGTTCTTGCTACCAAATTGTCTCCAGACATCTATCTTAAAGAAAAGCTTGGCCGTGATGTTACTTGTCAACGGGTGGTCACTGTGCGTAATAAATACAGTTCATTGTGTGGAATGCAGTGAAGTTGCAGAGATGTTTAACCTAGAAATCTGGCCCAAAGGTATCTTGTGCCTGTCATTAAAGACAAGGCTGGCAAGGTTGGAAGAGTGGATAGTTATAGGCCAATCGCACTAGCCAGTGTGTTATCAGTGTGTTATAGATCATCTAAGTGAGTATATTGATACCACTGACAACCAGTTTGTCTTTAAGGCTAAGCATGGTACTGATTTATGTCTCTATGCCTTGAAAGAAGTAGCTGAAGTGTATAGGAGACAAAACTCCTCTCCTCTTATAGATGCCTCTAAAGCTTTTGACCAAGTCAATCAACAGAAGTTGTTTCAGAAATTGAAACTAAGGGGCGAGCCTGACAGCATGATAAGTATCCTGATATGCCAACCAGAGTATGCAGGTCAGATGGGGTAATAGAGTCTCTGCTCCATTTGGCGTCGGTAATGGAGTAGAACAAGGGACGTTACTCTCCCCAGCCCTCTTTAACATGTATACGAATGATTTATCAGAACAGTTATGAGGCTGCAAAACTGGCTGTATGATTGATAACACTAATAAATCATCTCATGTATGCTGATAATCTGGCTCTTGTTTCTCCTAGCAGTGCTGGATTGAAACAGTTGCTGGATAAATTTTCTGATTATGGGGTCAAATATGATGTGCAATACAAAGCTAAGAAGAGTGCTGTCATGATAAGAAGACCTAAACTTTCCAGTTTTTTATTTGTTAGGGTAAGTCCTAAGTATTTGTAATACAACAAAATATCTGGGGTTCTCTGGATGTGTAAAACCTCTTGAACCCACGGGGTTTCCCGCTTTAGCTGCTTCTAAACTGCTTAGATCGTTTATACAAATATTAATGTTTAAACTTATGATCAATATGTCTGTATGGACACGCTACACATCGTTAGATCGGTTACATTATCCACAATTCAATAGTTCAGTTCATTTAATGGAAACACCAAGCCCCAAAGTCTAATTTTATAGATTCATCAGCGTAACCTGCATGGTACAAAAGACCAGGGCGACTGTGTCTCAGGAGATAGAGCAGGTTACCCATTAATCGAAAGGTTGGCGGTTCAATCCCCATTGTGAGTCAAAGTGTCCTTGGGCAAGACACTGAATCCCAAATTGCCCCTGGTGGCTGTTCCACCAATGTGTGAATGTTAGTTTCTGTTTGAGCACTTAGAATCTGAATGCAGATGTAGTGTAAAAGCGCTTTGAGTGGTTGAAATGACTAGAAAGGCGCTATACAAATACAGAGCGTTTACAAAAGTGAATCCTGCCATATGAAGTCCATTGTTAACTTCTGCCACACTTTTCTCCTGCACTGTGTTGTTGTTTTCCTTACAATGCTGCCCACAAAATAAAAGTTCATAAGCTGTCTGTCCAAGCTAGATCAAAGAAATGATGTGTATTTGATATTATTTGATAATTTGTTTACAAGTAATATTCATACTGTTTGAAATAAATAAAATATATATTTCATAGTAGCCTATTTCAGTTTTGTGCAAAAGGAATTCAAGGCCTGTCCCACATGGATGCCTGTCCCAAATATAGGCAGGGTCAGTTCAGTGATTATATTAATCAAAGTTTTACAGTATATTTATTAATTTAGCTGACTTTTATCCAAAGTGACTTACAATTGCTATATATGTCAGAGGTCGCGAAGCCAGCAGAGCATAAAGCATGACTTTATGGTACGATTAATAATGATATGACTTATTTATTTATTGTACTCAGGGGCTCAGCTGAGGTGATAACTTTACTTTAGGAGAGTTAGAGAAGAGTTTATAGTTTTGAAATTTTATTTTAATGGCTCATTTAGTTATGTGCTCTAAATAAAAATTCTTTAAAGCCCAAGAGGCCCCGACAAATGCTTTGTCCGGAGAATGGACTGACATGGGACAAACTAGGCCACTTGTTTGTGCCTGTCTGTGACCATCCTTGACCTTAAAAACTTGCGTCCTGAGATGTGTATTTGTCTCTGCTACGTGTCCATAAACAATTTAAAAGTAGTCAAAATGTTCACACAAAGATGAGCATCCTGCATTATTTTAAGAGGAAGAGGACAGAGGTCACAGGAGTAGGAGTAAAATTAACTGAGGAGGAAGAGCTTGTAAGTTGTATGGATAGCTAGTAGACATACTGTATAGTATAAGTCTTCACCATCTCCCCTCCCCAGTCTGTTCTCCATCTTCTGTTACAGCAAATACCCTCTTTCCGCACTAAGTACATTCTGTTTTCAAAAGTCATTTAAGTACTTTATTTGTTTTGTGTATGTTATAAATTAGGTGAACCAAAAAAATATGCACAAAAAATTATGTTTGACTGTTGTAAGAGGTAACAATATCACCAAATCTACCAAATAAAGAAGGCGTGACTCGGAGACAATTTTAAAATGACAGATGTGACCCCTCATTAGCATACCAAAGTAAATCACTTTCTTGTATACATACCAAAACTTAAAACCCCCACATTGTCTCTGATCTTTTCTTAGTGGTTGAGACAATGTAAGTGCAGTGCATGTGTGTATTAAGAGGTGGGGGGGTAGAATTTGGAGGAAAGGACAAAAAATTGAAGGCAGATGTTGACAGGCCTCACCAGATATATGGGGGTATTTTCAAACCTGTAAGTCATACCTAAGGTCAGTTTTTTTCAAAAATGACAGACAATGAAAGACAAATTGGTGTATTTCCCAAAAGACATCTTAAAATGAGATATAGATGCAGACCGTGATGATGGGATCAAAGGATGAAGTCAGGTGATGTAGAATAAAATCGAAGTCCATGTGGGGGAGGTGGAAATGGGTTGATGTTTGTGCCCTGTGTGAAAGTCAACGTTGACTTATTTTAACTTACATATATAAGTTAAGTTGATTTACTAATGTGACCTACTTATTTTAAACCAGTCAGATGCTAAAAATAACTGCTGGGCCTTCTGGAAGAATCATGTTCTAAATCAAACCAAATGCGGGAAGGAACATCCTTATAACCCTGATGGCAATCATTCACAACAGCATTTACTATTTACCATTTTAACATTCTGGTGAGTTGGCTAGTAAATTATGCTGTAGATTCTACACGTGCTGTTTAAAATAGAGTGTAACATTGTGACCAAATAGTCCAGGCTGTTATTATGACTCTGAGGTAACCAGATGACAAGGACACATGTGGTCTTTTGACTTTGTTTCAGTCAACCATCTGGGACAGAGAGGCCAATAAAATGTACCTCCACTAAATGTGTGTTAACCTTTGATAACAGCCCCTAAATTGTTCATTCCAGTCATCTATCTGGGTTTCAGATGGAGATCATTTTCTTATTTTCAGCAACAATACAATAACATATAACTGAGACATGATACAAGAAAACGCTGACTACTTGGTATGGCAGTAAACAAATTTAAAGATAGTTAGTGCCTGCTAACTTGGCTGGTGGCTGCCAGTAGCTTCATTAAAATAAAAAATCAGTATCAACAATAAAAAAAACAATTCAGCTGAATATCGTTAAAAAGGAGGAATAAACTAAACAATTTCATTGGATGGCCAATAAATTTCTATTCTCCAGTTTACCATTTTTATAATTGCTTTTATATTACTGTATATTGTTTGCTATGTAGCAGGAGGGAGTTACAAACTCAATTTCACTCTATAACCTGTTGTCTTGTGATAAATGAGTACCTTACCTTGTGTGTTTTCATTCCTTTGTCTGTGATTAAGCCTAGGTCTTTAAATGCACAAGAAAACTGAAAACATTACCCCTCACAACTCTTCAGAGTTTAACCTATTTGCAGAGCTTCCTTGTAACTAATTTTACTGCATGATTCAAATGTCATGGCAGCTCTGCTCTGAAATCATGCTTTGAACAAACTCATGACTTTCTGGTCTTCTGATCTTCTGGTGCCCACGCACCAGTGGTTAAAGCCTTTTTTATGTCCTTTTCCCCTGTATATTAGAAATATTCTCTTAATCTTATTAATTTAAACTTTTTCTGTAGAAAATACTTTTCCTCTCCCTAGATGTCAGCTCATATTAAACCAAGTAAAGTGCACTGAAACCAGTTTTCTCCTCCAACATGTTATTTGGGAGTATAATTTATAATGAAATGTTGACAACTACTTGATCAGGTTCAGTGTCCGAATCAGATTACGGTGGATTATTAATTTAATAAAGCTGCTTTAAAGGGGTGTAACAGTTCAACATCAAGTTCTTTAAATCACATACACATATGTACATGTAATACACTTCATTACCACATGAATGTGGTATATTTGCTGTGAGTGAGTTAGAGATAATATGAGAAAGAAAATGAGAGAGCTATTCGATTAGATTTAGATAAATTTGCAGGATTGCTTTTAGAGCACAAAACAGGAAGAGGGTGATGGTCTTCCAGAATGAAAAAAGCTAAATCTTTCATTCGGTGAGAATGAAACAATTGACTGGCCTTACCTTCCTGTCTAAATACTGTACTTGTCTACCTAACTACCTCCATATCTGCACGATTCTTTCCAAATCTAGCTAGTTCTCCAATGTTGCCTATGCCATCTTTGGATTATATATAATTTTTTACATAGAACAGTATAATGGTATTGTAACCAGCATCCTGGTTTGCCTAAGTTTATAAACTTAATAAGGAAACATGTAGGGGGACGACAAAATCCACACTTATGAATTTAAATATTGTTATTTATTTAGAAGATTTTGTTGTAACACACCACCTAGAATAAAACCCCACCCTACTTCCCTCTCTCCTCTCACACAAAGTTTAATCTCAGTCAATGGTCTCTGCCTTACAGCCAAGTTGGTGGCGAAGGATTTTTTCATCTCGTATTGTGCTAATCTTTAATAAATCATAACATATTAGGTTTGGAATTAATCTGCAGATGCTCTGACCAATCTTTTCTATGGATGTAAGTTTTGAGCCACGACAAAGGCCAAACTGTGGCCTGCAACCGACTAGGAAAGCCTTGTTTTTAGCCAAGCTGATTGCTGGAAATGCCTTTTGCTATGCCGTTAAATAATGAATTCTGCTGAAAAGAGCAACGCTTTATGATAGGCTCAAGCTGATGATACACAGAGCAACTTTTATAGCAATGGTGCAGGGCAATGTTGCTGTCAATGTTAATGAGTAAAGATTACTACCGTAATGCACTACCCCATCACTCTGCCACCCGGCCCGCCCCGCCGCTATCCGTTCAAATCAAAGTCGGACTTGCCACAAGCGAGATTGCCCAGCAATATGCTCAAAAAGTTGCCCTGTGTATCGTCAGCTTTATTCAATAAAAAATGTTTTTCAATAATTGTGAGCCACAAGAGGTCATTGAACATACAGTCATAAATGTGTACAAAAGGCTGATGGTTTCAGTAGTATGTGAGATTAGCTGCAGACAAATACACACACAAACAGACAATTGGCACCACCAGAATGATGGGGCTGCTGCATATCACATAGTATGAGCCGTGTGGCACCTCTCCTGCTACTAGTGCACACTTTGTACTGTCTGGTTCACAGCAACTTAACAAAATGATAATTTATCTGGTCAGTGTATGCCAAATTGTTTTGGTATTCTTATGCAGTACTATTGAGCTTATGGAGGATAATAAGAGGGCTTCTGCAACAAATACTATCACATTGGACCAAACAAGAAATTACCTTACCTGGAAGCCGAGCAGAATGCAGAGATACCATGGCGGCCTGTCATTTAGAGAATAAACCAGATCTACGCCTTTGTTCACAGTCTCTTCCTGGGCATCTGTATGTGGTTCCCCAATGTCAACTGTCAGCTGTGGCTGTTCATCACTTTCTTTGTCCTTGGAAAGAAGCACAGCAAAGGCAAACAAGTCATCAATTCAGCAATTCATTTATCCAAGCAACAGCAAACATCAAATAAAAAACAATATTATCTTATGGCGTTTGGTTTAATTCCACCCAGACTATTTGGGCACCAACTCCCAGACCTAAATTTTCTGACAACTGTTGTTACTGTTGCTTAAGGCATACCAGAGATTTTCTTAATGGTTTTCTTTTTTCTTTTTCTTTGAAACTGAGGGTAGTTCAGGCAAAGCCTTCTATCTTCACTGTAATCTAGAGCTGTTAGTTTAGTTTAGTTCAGATGAAAGACATAAATACTCAGAGTACGCAATGGAATCAGTGAGTTATGGCGTGTGGAGCATCCATGAGGACAATAGTGAAGGTCAGGTGGAATGAACAACATACCTTCTTCTCCCAAATAATATTCATATTCTGTTGATGAAAGTGCCTAAAGCTGAACTGTTCTGGTGGTCTTCCCACACATCATTTCTGCAGCCAATCTCATGTTTTTAAAGATGTTTTTCAAGAATTTTATGAAAGACAGTGATTTACTATGACATTTCTCTCAACTTTTGGGCTCCAACTTAATGAGAGTGGTTGGATTTGCATTCAAAGCTGCATACAGAAACACGAAGAAAGTATTTTTGGAGAGCATATGAATATGCAGTATAGCTCCATTTTCTTGCATATTTTTATTGTTAAATGTACAAGAACTACAGTATGTTTTGTAGCCACTGCTATAAGTTGTTCGAGAGAGGAAAGTAGATATTTCTGATTTGTATTAATTTCATATTAAGTTTGTTATGTGTGCGTGCAGGTATGTGTGTGTAATATCATTCTACATTGGGAATGGATATAATTGAGGAGTCCGAATTTCATGGTATTTTAAATATGCATGAAAATCAATGTTATATATTTGCATTCATTTGAATCAAGTCTTTTAACATAATGGTTTGCAGACACACAACAGTATAAAAACTCTTTAAAAAGACAGCTGCACTTTGGTTCTACGCCAATATTTTTATTATTTAGTTGTAATATCTTTTCAAATTACTTACACTTTTATTATGTATAACATTACCAGAGGGAACTGGCAGAGTCCATATGTTGGTTTAAACAACATTCATAAGACGGAGAGGGGTTTAATTGCATGCATTGCTGTAAGTTGCAATATGTAAATGTGCACCACATTTTTTTAACCCTACACTTCAACTACTCAAGAAGTGTCTAACAGTAACTACAGCCCCTGGTGAATATGGTGCAATATAAAAGGTTAAAGAAGCCACATTTCAGCATTATTGGTGTTGTACTCCTCTCAGTTCAATTTCATGTTTTTCGTGATTGGTCCATGCTGAAGCTGTGATGATCCACTTCACTGTGCCATTCAAAAAGACAGCCTCTATCCCGTCGCTGTGCCCGCCTTTTGTCACTTGCCATGTGCATCAATCCATTGCCCAAATTATGGCATGTGCTTGTGATAAGAAGCTTTTTAAACTGTCATTGGTACTGCCGTGAATTAAAATGAGCAGTTAGCCTTTTAACAGTGTGTTAATATTTAATATTGATGTTGTTGTTAAGAATCTTTTATGTAGAGATTCTAAAGCTGATGATACACGGGGCAACTTTTTGAGCAATGTTGCTGGGCAATGTTGCTGGTGACAAGCCCGACTATGTTTTGAACGGATAGCGGCGGGGTGGGGCAGGTGGCAGAGTGGTGGGGGAAGGGGATTATGGTAGTAATCTTTTCTCATTACCGTTGACGGCAACATTGCCACATTGAGTGTGTTAACCCACTCAGTTGTATCCAGCTTTAACAAGCAGGGGAAATTTATTGCAGGTCTGGACCTCTGCCCCCTTATTTTTGGCTCTGACTGCTATTCAAATGTCTGGAACATGAGGCCAACAGCGCAAGAGGTTTTGTTTCCATCAGGGAGACATGAATGTGAGTGGTGGTAATACAAGGTATTGTACATCAAAGCATTGACTAAATAACACAAGTTGTGTGACATGTAACTCCCTTACCATTCATGTTGTCAGAGGGAAAATCATTAACCGTTGCTAGATTTAATGTACACTTACAAATACCTTTGAAAAAAACCTTTGATCTTATTTGCCTTTTCCTCTGCTTCCATTTAAAAGTGTCAGCTTGCTGACAAGACATTCTTCTTCTGCCATTTAAATAATTTTGGTGACATCAAGCAAAAGACAAATCATATAAATGTTAGAAAAATGGATGTCAAGTGTGGTCCTCTGGTCTTCAGAATTCAAAGACTGATAGAGTAGGTCAGGTGTTTTAGTATGGAGAGAAATAAGTCTCAATAGGAAAGACAAATGTTATACATGAAAAAAGCCAGTGTTATGCAGTAGTCAGGACAGGGACAAAAACAATACAGACTGTGAAGCTGTCAAAGTAAAAGCCACAACACTTTCCCAGTCTATGGAAATCGTATAGACCTATATATTGTCTTTTGAAGAAATATCTTTCCAAATTGGACATCTGGCTTTTCAGCAAAATTATGTAGAATTGCCAAGCGTTCCACCACTCCCTAAACACAACACTGATTTGTGGATTGTGGATCATTAAATGTGTCTCCAAACTCCACACATAAATGTAACCAAATCCACATGCATTGGGCGAGTCATGTTCACAGATTCAACTAATGCAGCGAAAAAATAGACATTGATATTTTGAGGAGGGATTTCAAATGCAAATGTTAGACTGTTAATATGTTAAATATATGACATTTGTTTAAGTTTGGTGGCCTTTGTTAGTGAATAGTAAAATACTTTTGTGAGAATTTATTGAAGATACATAAAACATTCTGAAATCTTTAAAAGTAATTTTCAATTTATGTTTTAATTTCTGTGTCATTCAACACACATAAGTTGCTACTATTGAAACTTATTTCTCTCCATAGGTTAGAGACTATATTTGGTCATTGGTGTAAAGGTTTCTATGAGCATGTTATTTCTGTAATGGACAGGCAGCCTATTCTGTCCAGGGTTTTTATGGGATTTTCTTTGGCATTCTTTGGGGAAAAGGAATAACCCTAACCCTGACCCTTAAAACAGGCCACATGGAACCCAACACTTCTGAAGATTTGTCTGTTTGAAGTGTAAGAAAGTTAGAAGACGCCACAAGTGTTTGAATTCTGACAGAGGTATTCAGTGGAGCGTTTCAAATGTGGAAGAGGTGGGGGATTGAGTAACATATCAATTTATATAATTATATAAAGTTTATGGGGAGTCATGCCTTGGTTTAAAATGATTGTAAACAAGCAACAGCTCATATTATTTCCTTCCAAATCATAATGAGGAGAGAGTACTACTTAGATTTATTTAATTCAGAGGGGCTTCAGGGTAGCGACACTAAAGATGCATCTACATTACAAATTGGGAATTTATCAGAATCAACAGTGATATCTATAAAGAAGCTATTAGACACGACACCACCATGTAGTGTAGACTACAGTCATGTAAAGCTGTTTTTTTACCTATTTTACCATTGTGTTTAGCTTGTATCAACTACATTAAACATATAGTATATATGTGGTGGAGCTGTTATGTGTAGCTGTGAGGCTACATGGAGTATCAGCTTCTGGACCCAGATGCAGTTGGTGAGATTTGTTGAAACAAACGGGTGAAACTTGGGTAGTGATTGTGGCAGTCCAAATACGCACACAGAGAGCAGCAACTGAAAACGAGTGGAATCCAAAATGCGGAAAAGCATGAGAGACATGGATGTGACAAACAATGAACTAGCCCTGAGTGAAGGAAGCAAATCACTTAGATGCAGGTGAGGGAGAAACTAATCATACACAGGTGAAAACACAATCAGTGAGACCACAACCACAGGAAGTAAAACAAGACAACCCTGGAGGCAGGCATCTACAAATTAAAACAGGAAACACTCTAAACACACCCCCGCCACACCAGAACTGTGACAGGAACTGGGAGAAGAAGACAAAGTTACTACGGAAGTGAAAGGGTAGACAGATGATAACATGGGACACTTTAAAATTGTGATGTAATCCTGCTGAATTGTGTGAGTATGATAAGATCTGCATTTAAAATGTTAATTGACAAATTAAACCATCGTCTGTCTCTTTCTCAGTGTGCTGTATCATATCAGTAATAATTAACAGTGTCTGGACTATTGCACCACTCTTCTCACTGAATGCCAGACTAGAGCCAACACATCACATCTGAGCTCCAGTTAATTTAAGGATATTTCACACCACGCCCCACGTCCCTTGACCGGGGACAAAGCCACATGCTGCATCTTTCGCTCTGAAACCTGCTGTGTCTCAGAGGATGAGTCTGGCATACAGTCAGCTCTTCAAACAAAAGAAAACACGTAGTTGTGCACATCCCGCTGTTGTATCTGTCTCATGCAAGAGTCACATAAGAGACAGGATGCTCAAATGTGGATCTATTTATACCACATTTCCTCTGTCTTAGATTTACTCTCACGTCTCAGAGTTCTCATTAGATCGTGTATGCAGACATTCGCGTCAGTCATTACATGGCCATCTGCTTCCATCTAGTGTTCATCTACCTACACTCCAGTAACCACAGAATTCAAGGCCTGCAAGTGGGGGGGATCCAAATAGCTAGTGGTGTAAATAACGTTGCTGCCATTTCTGTTATACAGTGGGTTAGTTCACCTAAAAAAAACAACTACAAAAAAAGCTAAACACATATTTTCTGAGAACACAACAGCAACATCTCTTTCCAGAAACAGTGTGAAAGCTTTAATTTGAACTACTTTCTATCAAGTCACAGTCCCTATGAAAACATCTGACAGTGTTTTCTGTGAATGATTGACTGGGAGGAATGCCCAAAAGCAGACAAAAAATGTAAAACTATCTTTGTAGCTACAGTGTACTTGTTTAAATGCTTTACAATTCTGTAAACTAAGTAAAAGTAGCATTGCAACATTTACTGCTAAGTGGTAAACAATGAATCTTTTGGATTTTATTTAATAAACTTATTGTTTATCTCTCTAGTTTGCCACATGAATCTTCAATTTGTCATACTCATTCCCAAAATGTCTTAACTCCAAACTTATAATACTTGGCATTTTGGTAGAACTGCTAATTGTCATTAGTATCACAAACATAAGTCGTATTCTATTCTCACTCCAGGACTAAAGCCTACTGTGATGCTGCATTCAGGTTATTTGCCTCCAGCCTCCTGTATGTTTTATATTGTACACATTTTACAACTTAACCTTAGAACTTTTCCCTCTTGCTTTTACATCTTTTTTTTTATTTTTTATTGTATCGTCCCTTATCACCAGTATGTATTGGTATTTATTCACTTTTATTATTTTTGTGTTTTTAAATGTCTGTAATTTGTTGTTGTCTTTTTCTCAAACTTGTCTCAATTACCTTCATGCTCTACTACTTTGCAACAGCAAATACATTTTTCCCAAAATGTAGTACTGCCTAATTTTTTATTAACATAATGAGGAAATGTTTTCGTATTTGCCAAGTTGCTAAGTGTTCATACTGAATATATCAGCCGAATGTTCACTGACAACATATTAAATTTGTTTTTTTACAGTAGCCTCTATTGTAACACAATAACTTGGGTTTTTTCTGGTTCTGTTTAGTTCAGTTTGATCTTAGTTAATATTGAAAAATCCAAAAGGGATATATTCACCAGCAATGTTTTTCATTGTACATTTGTTTACAGCACACAAGTTAGAGGGAAGTGTCCAGGGTGGATGGTCAGTATACTAAGTGCAGGACTTTGACAGTGGGGACCGGGGTTCACATCTTGAGTCTGTGGTAAGGTTTAGGCAACAAAAGCATTTTGGTTAAAGTTTGGGAGTCATAGTTTTGGTTGCGTGTTAACTGTTAATAGAGTAAACTTGTACTTTAGGTAACTATTAACATTTAAAATTTTTGGCTTTGCTATGACTGCCTAAACATAACTATTAAAATGTTGATAATGATTTAGTTGCTATGAGGGGATGTCACAATTCTGCAACTTAAAAAACAGGCTACACTATTTCCCTCTAAAATTAAGCAAAACGTACATCCATAAACATACTCAAGCAGAGTACCAGTCAAAATTATAGGCAGACAGATTATTAAAAGTCTGATTAATCATCACTGAAGCTGGCCAGCACGATTATTCAGCACACAGCATCATGTGCCGTCCGTGTCACAGCTGCGACAATTTAGATGGATAAGTTGGCCGTAGGAAGATCAATTAGTTTGCTGGCTGCATGGATGATCTTCAAAAGGCTTTTCTTAGTCAGTGACTGTAAACCATACTGAAGAAAACTAAAGAACTGGTTCAATGATGCTGTGATGCAGTAGGAAGGCAAGTGTTTTTAGTTTCCGGATGATTTTGTCTTTTGGCAGCATCTGTGATTTAAACTGAGGTTATTGTTTAGTCCAATGTTGAGGTCAAAAGGTTGATTTATTCCATCACTCACCAGGCCATTCAAAGTTAATATTTACATATGTACACAAGTTCATTAATGGTTAATGTGGTGGGTGGACTGCTTTTAGAGGCTTAGTTGCTTAAAAGTAACATTTTTTAAATTTTTTTCTGCAGTCAGGGAGTGCACCCTCCAGAAGTCCTCTTCAAACAAGTTCACACCCAAACAGTCATCACTCAACTTGTCAGTGCAGCATTTCACCTGACAAGAACATATAAAGCCAATAGCAAATGCAGCAACAGCCACAATTTTTGACCCTTGCTAATGTGTATGATGCTCTGCCGCTGTCGTTACGACTTCTTCTGTGACTGCCCACCAAGTATCGCTATATTAACTAGCAAACATGTATTTTACTTAGAAAAACATGTTATCAACCTGCCTTACCTCTTCGTTCTTCCACATACAGTAACCCCATGTACAAAAGAAAGTAACTATATCTTCCAATAATTTGAATTTGACAGCTTTAATTATAGCAAAATGCTCTACATCTTTCCCAACTTCAACTATAGGCTTGAGATTTGTTTGAGGAGACAAGCCAAATGCAAAAGTGTAACTGTATTCAAGAATGCTGAAGTCCACCAAAAAGTAATGAAAGATGTAAGTCACACAGAGAGTAGAAGTTTTGTTTCATGTGAAGCCACCCTTTGTTTTTGGAGTTTATCCTCTATCGATACCTGAAACCCTGGACTCTGGAAACTGAACTTACAAACAAAAGCTCACTTGTATGAACAGGGAGAAAAATGCCAAAAACACATTTGCTTTCCCTCTCTATTGCTTTGTACTGGTGAGTTGTAATTGTAACCCTGTTAGAGAAGACATTCAGGTGTACTGCATATAAAAGTATTTTGTACATTTACAGTCAAAAAAATACCAATCCAGGCTTGTATATGCATGGTGAACAGCATGAAGACAAGGAGTGGATACTGTAAACTATGGGCTTCATCACCAAAGAGACATTATTCAAATCATCAGATTATTAAATAAAATCATATAAAAATAAACATGATTGCTGCACTTGCTGAAGCTGTTCGGTTTCACTGTTAAAACATGCATCCATATCTGCTTCCATTTTATTATGGTCTGAAACAGTTACCTACTATTATTAGCCTAATGAAATGATTTCTCAAATGTGTTTGATGTTTTTAGCTCTAAACACTGCAGAAAATCTCAAAAAGGAACTAAATAGAACATTTTTACATGATCAAAGCCTAAAAATAAAATTATGCAAGCTTAATATGCAGGGCAAAGGCAGCACACTTGACAGATTCAATAAATATATAAACACTAATTCACCATCTGTGAATTGACTGTATGGTAGAAGTCTCCCGATGGGCCTTTGTATGAGTGTCAAGTTGTATACAATACAAGGAAAATAAGAGTAAATATGTATTATTTTGCAGATGTTGACAGACTGATCTCTTCACCCATCTGCAGTTGAAGCTGTGCTGTTTGTTTGGTGTTCCCCTTTTTCTAAATTCTTCAGTTAATTGGGATGGGGAGAAAAAAGGAGAAACATCAACCTTGAGATCAGCTGTGTACACATGCACACCCCATGCAGCCAGAGCTTTTTACCATTCACACACACACCATATGTCCCGGCTTCAATATCCGTTATTCAGTTTCTGTTTTCTTGGTTGAATGTTTTATCAAAGAGCATTTCTAGTTTTAGCTTGGAGCTCTTTTGATCCATCTTGACTACACACAAACCTGATGTTTGCCACATACTTTAAAACCACGCAATCAGACTCATTGAAATATCCCATATTTTGTGTAACACATGCACACTGAGTAATTTGACATTCCACAGTGGCTTACATTTAGCTCTTACTGCTGTAATGTAAGAAAGTAGCACTGCATTTCTCTTCCTCTTGGCCTGTAAGTAAACGCAAAAGAATAATAATAAGAAACAACTTTCATATTATTATTATTACATATTATATTTAACTATTTAACTCTCTCACATTCTCACCCAGTGTTTAACACATTGATTTTGTTTGTGCCACAAAGCCAAACTAAAGTAGTAATAGAGATTTAAGATGACACTACACTTACCCCAAATGCAGGATTGACTGTCCCCTGCTCCTTCAGTCCCAGCTCTATTTCCTCATCAGTAGTGAGATGCATTCTGGTAAAACAAGGCAAGGTGGTATAGTTTCTGAGGATCTAAGTGGACTCCACATAGATAACCAAACACACACGGTGTGAGTAAAACTTTGACTGACCACAGACTTAAGAGGACAACATGAGGGGCTGCCTCATGTCGCCATGGAAACTGAGTACAGTCAAAAAGAGAGGGGCTTAGTTATTTTGTAATCTCCTCTCCGGCTCTGAAACATTTCTGGTCTGCTGAAGTGAATGTACTGTAGGCTTTAGTTACTCTGACTTACAGTCATGTGCCTGCTGTTGTGTGACCTGTTGTGTCATGGATCCAATGAAAGTATCCAAGCACGTTTGTCACATGAATATTTAATTTGTCATACTCATTAACATGCTCTTCTCTTATCAAAAGCTTGGAGTGAAGACATTTGGAAAAAAGGTGTCATTGTGGGTTTCTGTTCTCGTTCCCGGACTAAATCCTACCATGATGCTGCATTCAATTTATACGCTTCCAGCCTCCTGTATGTTTCATACTGTGCAGATGTACAACTTTTAAAACTTGATTTAAACTTGTAACAACACTATTCCCACTTGCTTTTAAGTGTCGTCATTTATTATTTAATCACTGTTATTATCTTTGATTTTTAAATGTCTTCGAAATGTTGTTTTTTCTTAAACTTGTCTCATAGAAATTATGTTTATGCTCTACTACTTTGCAACAGCAGATACAAGAGGCAATAGTCTAAACTCACAGACGATATCAGACGATAACACTAGGGAAATGCTGGAACTCTGCCACAAAGGAGCAAGACGATCTGGCAAACACATCAGGGAAGAGTCGGCTTATATATATACTAGGGGAGGGGAGACAATGAGACATAGGTGGAGACCATTAGGGCAGGGACGGGTAATCACACAAGCAGTGAAGACAGACAAAGACCTGAAATGAGATTTAGATTAGATTAAGATTTGAGATTAAAAAACAAAAACAAAAACAAAAAAAACAGGAAGTGCCAACAAACACAGAAACTGAACACATAACCTCACCTAAGGGAGCTCAACATGACACTCGCATTGCTTGCTCATTTTTGACAGGAATGCAATAATCCAGTCAGGGAAAATCTCACTTGGGGTTAAAATTAAGTGCTGCCCTACATACATTATAATTATGAATATAATAATAATAATAATAATAATAATAATAATAATAATAATAATAATTAGTATTATTAATAATAGTAGTTGTAGTTTTATTTCATATTATTAGTTATTTAATAGGTTATTTATTTTGAATGAGTCAGTCTTTCTGAGTTTTATTTATAAATAAAATAAAACCACATGAGCAAAAACAAACAAACTCAGAACATAAAAATACATCCAATGTACAAGACATTTTGGAGACAGTAACATTCTAGACATACTGTGTGCTGCATAGCCAGTCGGGACAGAATCCAGTTGAAGGGACCTGACGTGTTTTACGAATGTTTGTCAAATTTAAGAAACTTTTACATTATAACCACATGGAGGGTTTAATTTTCTCCAATTTCATAAAGGATAGAGCAAATTTTATTCACTGGGTATGAGAGGGTGGACAAGAATTACTTGCTTGGTGACATTAATCACAGCTTACATCAGTGCCAGGATAGTTGCAAGCTAGTTTACTTTTAGACTATTGGACTCTGTTAACGACTTTGCATTGTAACATGTTTCAAAACTGACTGCCAAGACTTAGTTGCTATGTTTATGTTGAGACCCTCAGAATAAGTAATGCGTAAATTATCAGAGGCTGGAGACTGGCAAGGGGAGAGTGTTGTACAGATTTGAAATGGTACTTTTGAAGTAAGGATATACATTAAGAATGGTGTTAAAATAATAGTGGGGAAAACAAAGAAGAGATTATCAATAAAGTTTCAGATTTGTAAGTATCTAAAGAGGTGTGTCCTCTGTAAATTGAATACAGGACAGAGACAATCCCATGGTCTTCCCAGCCTGCAAAAGTAATAAGTGAAAGGAACAGAGGATTAGACTATAAAGGGGAGAGACCAGATCTTGAAACAGTTTTTAATTATAATTAGTGGTGTAAGGGATTATAGTTGATCTGTGCTCTATCAGCGTCCTGGTAATATGGTTATGTGTGTCGTCTGCATAATTATGGTAACATAGTTTGTTGTTTTCATAGTTTGTAATCTGAGCCAGCAGAAGCATGCAGATGTTGAACAGAGAACAGAAGAAGCCCCAGAATGAAGCCTTGTGGAACTCCGCATGTCATTTTTGTCTGTTCAGATGTAAAATTACTTATAGATACAAAGTAGCCCCTGTCCTTTGAGTAGGATTCAATCAAGCTTAGTACTGTGCCAGAAAACACCACCCATTTTTAAAGTCTGTCTATTAATATGAATTGAAATTATCTACAAGCTCACTGACTGAAGGCGGTTGTGGAAGAGAAAACTTGAATAAATATTTCACTGGTGTTTTCAGTGATATGCTGTTTTGTGATTACCTCTGTTTGAACATGTTTGTGCATAGAAATAGTGATCTCAAAGAAAACATAGGAATCATCCTGTTGTCTTGTTGGTGATAGTCCACTCTCTCGCTTTTATCCAATATTTTCAGTCAATTTTATTGTAATGTTGTTCCCACTGCTTTAAAACAAGAATATCAGCAGAGACGAGGCAATAGCAAAGCATCTACCCTGTAAGAAAGCAGAAAACAGTACCAAGCTAGTGATATAAGTATAATAAATAAAATATAAAATATGTCTCCACCTATTATATCATCTTTTCAGTAATCTGAAGGGTTCTTTTTCACTAAGTTGTGTTGCCAAATACATTTTGTATGATTTTCTTCAGTGAAAGAAATGCTTAATTTGTTTACAAATCCAATCCTACATTCCATTTTGGCCTTTGTTTTGGCGCAGAAATTGACATTCATAGGAACGTATAGTGTCATCATGAAGTGGAGCCACAAAAGTTAGGCACAATGAGGGAGGGGAGTAGAAGGTGTTTACTTGTGTAGTGGATGACAACAAAATGTTCTAAATAAATAACAAAAGGTTTTAAATAATAATGTTTAGATTATTGTCCCATTTATTGTTTGCTAAGTTTATGCAGTTAGGTGAACCCAGGACAATCGGTTTCAACACCATTAAACTATTCTATTAATCTTAAAGAAAACTATACAAAAAACTTCCTCCCCTTCATTCTCATGCATACAAGCTGGATACACAGCTTGCCCTGCACTCCCTGTTGAATGGTCACAGTATGGAGCATGGGGTCTGGATGTTAACCAGTTCTAAACCTTTTATTCAGTCTTTACAATCTGTGAAATGTGTCCACATTTGAATCCTCATCTGACCCAAAAGCACTTATCCTTCCTGTTCCTATTGCCATGCATGCTTAGGAATTGGTCACGCGCTGGGTGCGTGAAAACAAACATGAATACTATGTTTAACATACTGTCCCGCATGCCAAAATGGGAACAAATCAATTCACTCCTATGTCACGGCATATTTGGGAGACTTGTCATGAGAGTGGCAGTCACTGAGAAAAAGTTCTGCTGGGCCAGGAACAGCTGATTCTTTTCATAGCTTGGTAGTTTGAAACTGTAAATTTGATGTAGGAAATCATACGCTCACATGTCACAGAAGTGAAATATTTTAACTTCAGTGCTTCCCACAGAATGTGTCGGGAGGTGCACCACTGAGACTTGTGTATATTGTGTGCCACCCATGGTGCCACCAAATCATGTAGAGCTGAGTCAAAGGAGATAGTTTGTGATTGTTCGCTTTAGAAATGCTGCCTGGTGTGAGGACGAATCTCAGTGCCAACTTGGTGAACATCAAAGGTGTTTGTTCTGCTCTGAACAACCCACCCTTTGATTTTCTTTTTTTTTATCACTTTCTTCATGTACCTACATCATCACCACAAAGAACCCCCTTGGCCACGATCTGCCTTTCCCAAGGTCTTTGAAACTGTGAATAGTGTTTTATACTGTCTATTATGTTCATTTACAAAATTGTCATTCACTACTGTTTTAAACAAGACACCTCAGAAACATCAGCAGCCAGATATTCTGTGGTTTATGTATATGGGATGTCCGAGAGTGGCCGTAGCAATCGGTTGTATATATATATTGGGCAAAATTTTTGACTTACATCTGACCGAGAGCTTGGAACAGGGTGATTTTGGGGTGAATCCGTATCGGACAGAGCTATCTTCGTGCAGAACAACAGCGCGATCTTTGCAGCATCACAATCATGGACGCCACAGATACTCAATTAGGAGTAATGACTCCAAAATGACATATAATTATAGATCCTGTTGCAATGAGTATGGCTCCTAGAAAGAAACTCCCCCAACAACATTGGCTGATTTTCTGGACCGAAAGGCTTGGGCACCTCAGTTTGAATGGGCGGTGGAAGATTTTAGAATGTTGGGATTCTTATTTGAGCACGGATCAGTTCATCTTTATACAAGAGAGCTTGATGAAATGTTTCTTCGTGAAAGCACACCGCACATTAGTTTTTTCTACCAAAGCCTGGAATTAATTCAGAAACAAAGTCTGTAAAGATAAGTGCTTCAAAAGGAGTCTATACCACACAATGGTGCGGTTCAGTGCCTGGAGAACTCTATCGTGTAGAGACAGACCTTGAAGTCTACGACCCAGAATCCTACATCTTTTTTAGATCATGCAAGGACGATTCTATCATTCAAAATGCCAGGAAGGGAACCCCAAAGCAACAAAAAGGCTACCCCATCACGTCTATGCTTTGTGGTCCAGTGGGGAGAATGGGATAGAACGCTTGAAGTCTTCTCACACATTGATAAATACCTTATGTTAGCTATGTAGGGATCAAAAGAAAACACAGACATTGTTCTAATTAAAATGTTTTGTACAGGTATGAGGAATGTGCAGTGATGATGATAAGAGAGAAATTACGCAGAAGCTTTTTAACAAACATTTCGCTGTTGCTCAAAAGTACGTCCTACGTGGTCTTGGGTTGGTGCCAACGTGTGAATGCAGTATTCGAGACATTGCAGCAGCTGCTCTGCAGATTTGGTTGAGTAATCCTTTTCTCATTGCTTCGCTTAAAGGGTAGTTAGAGTGGAGGACAGTGTGAGCACAGTAGTTAAGGAATCGCTGGACATCTGGAAGGGGGAACAACACTAAAAACAATGGGGAATATGTCTATGTCTAGTCTACTAAACCATG